CCTATATGGGTACTTTAAGGCCTAAGTACCTACTATACGGGTACATGGAGCCTTTGGGTAGGTCCCAGCATGTCGTGCCATCTGGGTTTTGTTGTTGGGTTTAGAGGGGAACGCAAAATCTACACCGCACTTGGCTGAAGGCCTTTTTCTGCTTGGTTTCAAGGTATATACCCTTAATATAGCTATTATATAGCCCATTATAGGGTAGGGGTCCCCATTAAGGGTCCCTCCTTTTCCCCTTTGATGGAAGATGCCAGCCCTTCAAGCAAGGCTTCTGCTGGAAGTCATTGGTTATTCACATGTTCCAAACGGGTTTAGGGTTTCGGGGACTGCTGCAATCGCCCTGTGCTTCAGCACTTTGAGTCGACTCCCGCAGTCGCGAAAAGAGTCCAGGGCCGTGAGTCACAAGTAATGCATACATATGTATATATGTCTTTCACCATGTGGAACTCCGTTTCGACGCCCCGTAAGCAGAGGCCAGCCGGCCCTACAGGTAAAACACTATACATCCAATCTGAGCCTGCTCCCAGGTCTGTGAAGAGGAAGGCACACTTGCTGGACGGCACCAGAGCTCATGAAGTGCAGCAGTTCCGAGGACTTTGGCTTCCGGCTTACGGGGAGAGATCTAATGTTGTCTGATGTTGACCAAAACTGTTTTAGGGCTGAACATAAAGTGTTGCACTATCGCGCGCTACTATAGGAGCCTTCATAATTACCTATGCAAATTTTGGGGGTTCCTTCTTTTAATGATAGTAAGTATACCCGAAGGCTCTACAAATTCAGGATTTACGTTAGTATCGGTGAAGATTGCAGTCGAAGTCATCGTTATGTTAAAGGGTCCCAAGCAGAAGAGCAAGCATTGACACATTTTGTAACCTGGTGTGTGTTTTTGTTACAAAACTCGTGTTGGGTCACACCGGCTCTTTCTTCAATCCTTGAATTATTCGAAGACCTCGGGTGAGGGGTTTAAGGTTTAGGGTGTAGGGGTTTAGGATTAAGGGTTCTTGTAAAGCCCCGAACAGCCGTCCTTGAAGTTCGCAAATCCAAGACCCCAAGCCCCAATCCTTCGGCCTACACCCCGAAGTCGTGCTAAGCCGAATAAATCCCGAAAAAGCTCAAATCCCGAGAATAGAACTCTTCATTACGCTGTTTCCCTAAACCCTTAAGCCCCATACAGCCCTACAGCACCATATGCAGCGCCTATAAGAACTGCACAGGATACTAGACATCCTTCAACCCCCCCTAAATCTTGGGTCGCACATAGCACCAGGAGAGCGCTTCTCGCTCGTCTTTTACAGCGCCTCGCCTCTCTGGAGCGGTGACTCCTAATCCTTTGAAACTTTGGTTAATAGGGAATGGAAGAATGGTGGTAATAGTAGTTCTAATTGTACCCAAATCATAACTAGTATTACTACCATTCCTCCATCCCCTACTAACCAAAGGTAAGAATCCGGATGCCGGATTCTGGTTGAGGATTTGAGTTTAGGGTTCAGGGTTTTGGGCTGTAGGGGATAGTGGGGTTTCATCTGGGTTGGAGGGGTCTGTGGCAGGTGACTGGCTTGGGGGCTAGAGCCTTGGGTCAACTCTTGCGGGCTTTTTCACTCTACTACAGGCTTTAGGGCCCAGAGGCTCCACATATAGTACCATTATGGAATTAGGCCCCAAAAGACCATACATATCATGGCTTTGGGGACCTAACTCCATAATGGTATTATATTTGGAGCCTCCAGGGGGTTGGGGTTTGCGAGTTCAGGGTCGCACGCGGATTGGGGATCGGCGTGCAAGGTTTCACCTGTCAGGGTTCTGCTGGTTGAGGCGTGAATCTTTCTGGGCCCTAAGCCCTAAAATCCGCACCCTATAAAACCCTAAACTGTGAGACTGGGGGGGGGGGGGTCATTTATGCCAAAACGGTGACGCAACGACCTCAAGCCCGCTGAAAGATCTGATCACAAGCCCTGTTAGTAAGCCCTGTTCTTTGGGTGAATGACTGCATGTTCAGATGCTTCAAGATGAGCTTAGGTTTCAATGTTTCGGGTGGCGACCGATACCCCAAAGCCTGCATGTATGTATCAGCCATGCCAAAACATGACGCAGCACGGAACGGCAGATCCCGACCTGTTTTCCGATTCAGCTCGACATGTTATAAACAACTGGTCCCTTCTGAGGTCTTGTTGTCCACATGTTGCGCAGTTTCAGGAAGTAACTGGGTTCCTGTTAAAGGGTTTTATGTAAGTTACCATAATAAGTAAACCTCTTTATTTACTACAGATCCCTGCTATGGCAACTTAAAAATTGAGGTTCTTTAATAACAAGAACCCAGAGCAAGGGACCCACCGTTCTTCAAGCTTTTAACTCACAGGTTTTGGCGATTCGACGTTGGAGCCACAATGCTCCAGCGCCGAGAGAGCGAGGGTTTAATTTAGAGTCTGGGGGTTTCTTATTAACATCATAGTACAATGGGCTAGTATAGGGGCCTTGATGATGGAGGGGGGTTTCTTGTTACATTTATGGTATAATATATGGTCCCCAAAGCAGTTTTTGTAAATTAGTAAGGCCTACAGTAGGGTTTAGGGTTCAGGGCCGACCAAGGCTGTGGGAAGTCCTTGACCGCCTCCACGGCCGTGAAAAGATCGCTGCAGAGCTTTGGCTTTCGGCCACCGACCGCGCAGGCCAATGTAGGTTTCGGTTTTAGGGTTTAGGATTTAGGGTACCATAAGGGTAGGATAATGTAGGGAGGCCGCCAAAATGGAAGACGATCGCTAAGCGGGCTTCCGGCATTGAGGGTTTACAGCGCTTTGGGTGTAAAGGTCCGTCTGTATGTATGTATGTATGTATGTAAGCATGTATGAGAAGGCTGGGAAGTTTTATCATGGTAAATTGCAGGCTGCCCTGAGATGCAACCCAAGTTGCCCTGCACGCGAGGACATCACCCAAAAATCAGAATCGCGTAGACGTCGTAGTCGGAGCTGTCGATATACATGCTTGTATCTGGGTTCTCTTTACAGGTTTTCATCCAAGTTACCATAACAAAGAACCACAGTATTTACTATAGATCCCTATACTGGTAACTTAAATCAAGTTCCTTAACAAAGAAGCAAGGTAGTTGTTCGTCAGACCCACGAGCCGCCAAGCTAAGCGCCGCAGGCACTCCGGGATGCAAAGGCGCACAGAAACCGGCTTTCGGATTAGCAACGGTCCTATAGGCTTATGGGTAGTTGTAAAAAAGTATGGTCCCTATTTGGATCCTTATTATAGCACGGCACCTAATATTTAGGGTACCCGAAAAGGGACCCTAATTTTGACAGCCATCCCTATACATGCACAGTTCTTCCCATAAAAGGCACATGTATGTGTCGTACGACTACAAGAAGAAGCTTCTCCGCTAGTTTTGGTGTTGTTCGCTTCGTACCTAAGGCTGAGTGGCTGCAGGTTCAAGCTGCAAAGGGTGGGAGTTGGATTTGAGTTTAAAACAGATGTGTTGCATTCGGTCTCTCTGCTCAGTAGCATGTTGATTTTTTGCTCTCATCCCGTCCAGCCTGCTAGAGCCCCCCATCGACCGAAGCACTAACCTCCAAGCTCCATCGGCGAAATTTTGTCCCTTCAAGACGTTACTGGGTCGTGCTTTGGGATATTTTTTATTTCCCTTCTTTCCTTATAAAGGGAACCTATTCATAAATGATTTTTCAAAAGGTTTAAAGAACAACCCAGGTTAAGTCTTTGAGCACGAGCTTCAGGCTTGGAACCCCGATTCTAGTTCATTTGTATGGGCTATCGGCATTATGCCTAGTGTGTCTGTGGCTGGAAAGCCGGTACTTCAGATTCATAGTATAGCTAGAGTTCGTATCAGCTATACTAGCTATACTGTTTGTAAGAAAATGATGCTGATGACGAGCAAGAAGAAGATGATGCCTGCTATTTGCCCATGGAGATGTGTTATTAAAGCCGTCGCTGCTAACACCATGATATTTTTTCGTTATGCTGCTGTTGATGTTACACTGCAGTTCGCTTGTCGTTGTTGTGGCTGGCCAGCAATCAAAGAGTCAAAGCTTCTTAGCAGACTGTAAGTCAACACTATACAAAACGATATGATATAATCGAGTGAAGGTGAAGATGAAATATCACCCCAAGACCATGTACATTTCAATTCACCCGCTTCACGATCTCACAGAGTCAGGCGGCCGTCAACAAAAGGAAGAGTGGCTGCGGCAAAAAAGCGCTCGGGGCTTCCACCACTGGTCGGGCGTATTGTCGTACAGCTTGGCTTAGCACTTGCCCTCATTAGGGCCCCGGCCTGGAGTCTTGCATCTCTAGTGACTCTAGTGTTTTGCAGGGGTTGTATACTTTTGTACATCATTCACTGCGACGAAGGACGGTCTTTGCGAACTCGCGCGTGTGAGATGGTGAAGCGGAGTGCGCTTAGACTGAGGAGCCCGGCCTGGGCCTAGGAAATGCTCGCATCAGGCTGGCCAGTCAGGGCGCCCAGCACGTCGAGCGAAGACTTAGTTTTGTTCTGCCGAAGTGTATCGCCAGTGCTTGGTGGCAAAGGTCTAGTTTGGTAGGACAAATATGTCGTATTGATGCTGGCACTGCTGTCCTGAGGCCCTACCCTGACTGCCTTTTTCAGTATTACTTGTGTGTCTGCGGTATGAGCCTCCGCTTGGAACAAACAGTGCGACAAAGTACGTGGATCAAACAACATGCAGCTTGGCTCGAGCCAAATTCTCTCCTCCAGCCAGACCTACGCAGAAAGTAGATTGCCAATAACGATTGCCACTAGACTCAACTGTCAGCAGTCCTTGGAAACTGCCAGTCGCGCTGTCTACCCAATTTGCACATACCCAAATTCAGTAGCGTGATCTCTTATAAGTAAAACGAGCAGTCTTCTGCCAACAGCTATTCTGACCGTAGTCGGAGCACTCCAAGGCCGAAACCCTAAACGAGCCAAACCAGCCCGTTTGTAATGACGCCGAGACCCCGAAACCCTGTCGGCTAATGTTCCCATGCGGCGAAAGATCTCGGCATTGTGCCTGAGCTTGCGCCGGACAAGGTGCAGCACGCTAGTGTGCGAAGTGCAAGCGAGGCAACACCCACAACTGTCAGATTGGTTGAATCATTGGGATATCCTGACTTCTTCAGTGTGTAAAACCAAAGGTCGTGGTAGAGGCGACAGTTACAACAAGCGGAGTAGCGAGTACCTGCTGCCCCTTGAAACCCCGGTCGAAGGCTTGGTCAGAGACATTCCCGTACAATCTGCACAGAGCGAGTTTTACAGTCAGGTTGCTGGCAGCCCATACTGGTGGAAATGCCACAATCAGCTTCCTCATCAGCACAGTGTAACCACCACAACGGCATCAACGACAACTGCAAAAACAACCACAACAACAGTACCATCAGTGGCAGCAGCACAGGTGGTAGTAGTCGTACTGTCAGTGGGGTATCGAGGAAGAGGAGTACTGCACATATGCTGATGCCATCATGAGTTGTGGATTTCCGCAATTAAGTGTTCTCAGCACATAGTCACAGTACATGCTGGGGCACTATTACAAGCCATCTCAAACCCGGAATTGGTTGACCAAGTATAGCCCATGCCTCTTCGGCACCTTGTGCAAGTTGTCAGTTTCGGAGCACACGGGGCCCTACAATAGACGCTGCATAGAAGGATCATGTTTACGTGGACTCGCAAGGCAAGTGCCCACCACACTACGATTCCCGCATTGTAATAAGCTTCGTTACTAAACGACTTAAACAAGCCCGTATAAAGCTCTTATAACTCAGTTGATTTTAAGACCTCCTCAGTTCGGCTGCGGTGGGCGGCGATGCCCTCAGGGCAGCTTTCGAAAAGCAGGTGGAGGGCCCTTGGTTGAAGCCTTCTGACGGTAGGGCCTTGAAGGGTTTGCATATAGGGTTTGGGGTTGAAGGCTCAAAAGGTATGAGCGTTTGATGTCGGTTAGGTCTCGGGATCACGGTCGTCTTCCTAAACCCTCAACCTAAACCCCATACCCTCAACCTCAGCTCCGCGAAACCTGAAAGCTTTCTGGTCGGGATGTTGTTTTTGTTTTTCGGCTCGTGCCTGGATGGAGTCTAAAGCCAGCTACGGTTCTGTACGGTGTAGAGTTGGGGCCTAGGGGTTAGAAGGTATGACTGAGTGTCGCACTGAGGATTTCACTCTTCGTCGTGCCTCTACTTCGCCCAATTCTCCCAACCCTTCCTTCATGGTGCTGTTTCCTTCAGGTGGCTTCGATCCCGATTAGTCATAGTCCAACACCTGCAAGACTCGATGCTTGAAACTCAAAGGCTGCTAATAAAGGCGTTAAAGATTCAGACATTTATTTGGACCCCAAAATATGTAGAATAATTGCCTTCGTGTGTATGAAGGGCCATTTGTTACCTACTTTGCGGGGGGGTTGAGGTAGTGTTCGCGAAGGCTTCGCTTCTGCACTGCCGTCACTGCTAGCATCGCAGTACCTGTCTTTCTTGAATTTCAAGCCCCGGTGCCCAGGACGTCCCTAAAACTTAGGCCGCGTCGGTTGCAGCTTCCAGCTTTGACCCTGAACATCAAACTTCCGCCTGCATGTCCCAACAGCCTGTAACCCGACGCCCTAGACCCTAAACCCTGAACCCTAAACCCAAGCCCTAAACCTTGAACCCCAAACCAAACCCCAAACAAAACCCCACATGCCCCAGAGGTCGTCTCTGGGCGACTCACCGCTGACCCGGTGCAGCGAAGCGTCGTGGAGCTTGGGGCCGGCACGTTAGGGTTCAGGGGTTGGCAGAGTTTGCCCTAAGGCCCCAAAGTAGTTCCTTTTTGGGGCTCATATTCAGAATCCTATAATGTAATCCCAAAAAGGAACTACTTTGGGGCCTATGGGTGGTGTGATAGCGTTTAGAGCTTAGGATAGATTCTTTAAGACAGCAGGGCCTGTGCTCGACGGGTGCTTCTGGAGGCTTTGTGCCAGTTTGTGATTCTGGCCTAAACCCAGACCCAAAACCCTCAAGCCCTCAAACCCTAATTTGTGGTCATCTGTGTCGATGACTGATTTTGTGTACAAGTACTTACATCTTGCCTTTAGTTTAAGGCCGCACCTTGAGGAAGCTGCCTCATGTGACCGGGAATCCACGGATCTTGCGGATCTAGATGTCGAGCATGGCTCTGGCACATGCTATCAAAAGCTGAAACCACAGTAGCTATGATGTAGGGGGTGGAGGGAAGGGGGGTATAGGGGGTATAGGGGGCCTTCATACCCATAAGAAGGACTTACTTAGGCCTATTTAAGGAAGTATAGTCCCCTTAGTAGTTGGCAGGCCGTCATCACCAGTGCCCTCACACTCATCGATACCGTACTGACTTATCACCACCATCGATATGACGATCTTCATCGTCGTCGTGGTTATTATCTCATCTGTCACCAACACCAGCATACTCCTCAGCGTCCACCACCAATGTAGGAGCCTGATGAAGAAACCCTGGGCCTATCACCCCAAAATAGTCGGATTCACATAAGGCACCCGAGTAAAGGCCCAAGGTTTCTTAAGCAGGTTCCTACATGACATCACCCGAGGACTTTCTGGGTGATGCCCTCACCTCTGCGGCGGGGAAGCGTCCCAATCAGGAGACGGAGGCTGTCGTGAGGGGATGTACTGGGATTTCAGGCCTTCCTAATATTGCTGCACTGGTAAGGCTCCCAGTATCCAGGAATGCAATTCAGCGTCCCTTCCTTTCTGCATCGGAGCTTTGTGTCACATCGTGATGCCATTGCCTGATCTTTGGTTTCGATTGTTCCTTTAGTATACGTATCAGAGACTTGGAGATAATTCGGATAACATGAGTCTTATAGACCCGCTGTTGTCCCCCATTGGATAGGATAGATAGCTTCAGCATTTGTAGTCTGTTGATGATCCAAGGGTAAAAAGAGGGACCCTTAATAAGGACCCCTAGGTATATACCCTTAATATAGCTATTATCTACCCATTATATAGCCCATTATAGGGTAGGGTCCCCACTAAGGGTCGCTCCTGTTCCCCTTTGAGATGATGAAGCGATTGGGCACCTTTGCAGGGATCGCTGATCAGGGTGCGAGAGGGTGCGAGGGGGTGCGAGGTTTCACCGAAGAACTGGCTTGAGTGTGGACGTCTTGTACGAGAGGGCTATTGAGCAGCATATAGCGGCTGAAGCATCAGATCCCTAGATCAGTGCCGAGCTCGATTTATTCACCATGATGCCGATGATGATGCTCATGTTGGTGCTGGTGCTGGTGTTACCTTCTGTGGTCGTCGTCTTGGTCTGTGTTGTCGTCGTCGTCGTCGTGATCCTTCTGTGATGTCGTCGTGACGGTGCTGCTGTTCACGCTTGTCAGAAGCAACATGGTGACCAAAGCCGAGGTGTCGAAAATGGTTGTACGCTGGCCAGAGGTGTTCCGGTGGTTCGAACAATCCATCTTTCGAACTGCCAGGCCCCTTCTACCCTTCGACTGTTTTTCTGGCTCGGCAGCGCCACCTTCATCTCGAGTCTCATGATCTACTAGGAGGTTGACTCGCTCTCGCGACCTTAGGCCACTGCCAGCTCATGCAACTCCCTGGTCCCCGCCCTATATCCCAAGCCTTAAACCCTCTACTCTATCCCTGCTGCAGTCCAGGCGCAGGAGCCTCCAACGGAAGGACGGGGGATGGTCTGCGAGTGCTCTTTTGCCTTGCACGGGAATTAGGCAGTGGCCACTCGCTCGACCATGTAGAACATAAACCCGAAGCTCTGCCTGGACCCCAAAAGTATGTGGAATCATGAACACTAGCCGAGCCTTTTATGGGTATTGGGCCATTATTTTACCTACTTTGTGGGTTTCGGTGCTCACATTTTGCAGGAGGTCCCTTCCCAAACCATCCGCGCTGGGTTCTCCCGCGCTCGGTGGCAGGTGATCTCCTCGGTTTCGAGCTTTGTGGCTGTTCGGTTTAGGGTTCAGGGTTCTTTGCAGGGGTGTCTCTGCTATTTCATGTTGGTAAAGCAGGCAATATAGGAGCGTAAATAGTTATCAATACTATTTTGGGGACTCCTTATTATAATTCTAGTATAATATACCCAAGAACCCTATTCTAATTGCTAAGACCCCTATATTCGCTACTCATATTATATCCGTGTAACGCACTTCCCGGATGTGGCTGGTGTGGAAGACGGACGGCACATATCATTGCCCTGAGTGTCCATGTACCCGAAGAGCATTAACTTTGGCCTTAAAGTACTCCCTAGTATATGCTATTTGGGTACATGGGCCCTTGGAGTTACCCAGGATCAATGCAAGCTCTGTGCTGTTAAGTAGTCCTGCAATCAAGGGGACGAGGCGCAAAGTTCAAAGCCCTAAACCCAAGCCCCAAGCCCTAGACCGTGGTGCCCTATTGGTCCATGAGCCTGCATGGAGTTTTCTCTTCGGCCTGTCTCCTGTAAGTACTTTGCGGCCAAAGTATATGGTGGTTTAGGCGTAGAGTTTAGGGAGTTTAGGGTGAACCCTAAACTTATAAACCTTCTGTGTAGGTGCTTAGGCCTTGCGGGATAGCTTCAAGCCAGGCCCCAGCGGTGCGGCCGCCACTGCCGAAGATCATCGTCAGGCAGTGCGGCTGTTCTGATTGCGCTCAGGGCAGGGACTCTTAGCTTTAAGCTTAAACTGGGTCAGATCCCCAAGCCACAAATCCTAAACCATTGGATTCAGCCTTTCGCAGTATCACTACTTAGTAGCTGAGTGGATGCACTTTACATTTTTTGGGATAATGTTACCCATTATAAAGCTTATGAACTCAGCAACTAGGACTAGAACCTAAGAGTCATGGCAGCAGCCAGAACCAGAGTGTAGACTGCAAGCCTCTCCAGTCCCCGAAGCTGAGCCCATCGGTTTAGTTTTTTAGATTTCCTGAGGTGCTCAAAGTTGAGTATGAGGTGGATGTTCAAACTACCTATAGGCCCCGAAAAAGTTCCTCTTTGGGGTTCATATGTAGAATCCCATAAGGTAATCCCGAAAAGGAACTACCATGGGGACCATGGGTATGGCAGCAATTAGGGTGGCTGCCTTTGAAACTGTTTCAGCATGATGCCCGCACTCGAAGCTCCTCTAAACCCCAGTCCGGGTTCAATATCCGAAGCGTTGGCCTTGTAAGCCCGAGGCCCACAAATGACCGGAGCCTTCTCAAAGAAGCCTAAACCCTAAACTCCCTTGACCCATAACCCCTGTAGATCCCTTAAAGGAACCCTTATAGCATCCTTACAGGAACCCTAAGCCCTAAGCTCCCTAAACCCTTAACCCATAAACCGAAGCTTTGAACCCAGACCCCGACCCGCCCCGAGATCGAGTTTTGCAGTGCGTACCTGCCGAAAAACAGGGATGTCCGTGGAACTGTGAAAAACCCACCGGCCCCCAAAATTGCTTCAACTAAAACGGCACGGATGAACGGCATAAGCCCTAGCCCTAACACCCTGACAAGCCCTCACTGGCCTCAGAAGGTTGCAGAGTGGTCACGGCGCGTAGCAGCTGAGAATGCCCGGCGAATGCGGGGCCAACGAGGTCGGCAGCTATCAGGTTTGGGGCTTTTTAGGGTGTCAGTACTTGGGGGATCATGGGACTTAGTAAGTAAGGTTATAAATAAGGCAACTATACTTATAAATACTTATAACCCCGATTAAGGTACTTCCCAGGATCCTCCACGTAGGGTCAGTCGGCTGTGTTGATCCAGAAGTGCAGGCAGTATGTTGCGCTTGTGTTTTGCCGTCTGTTTGTGAAGTTGTTGCCCTATTATGAACAATTATATACTATATGATATGTAATATATACTATAGTACATACTATGTCATAAGTCATATGGACCCTCAGGCCCTAGAGGCATTACCAAGCCACTAGATGCAGCAACTTGCAGGGAAGCATGCCAGGTCAAAGATCTACAGAGGTCAATGTGAAAGAGGTAGGACATTTGTCCAGAGGTTCCATTTTTTGACTGTATAAGTCTGCTCTCCACATTGCTTTTTTTCTGACACGGTCAGCTATCGCATGTCTTTACAAAAGTACTCAGTTATGATGCTATACTACGGCACACCCACCCTGTCGTTGGGGCCAGTCTTTGTACTATCCGTTTCGTGAACTTAACCACCAGCCGATCGGTCCAGCAAAAATATCTGTGGAAGTCAGTGTTAGGGTTCAGGGTTTAGGGTACCCTAAATGTTTGCAAAGGGTACCCGAAAACCCTTGTTTGAGCTGCCTATGGCACTGTACGTACCAGCCTACCAAGATTCCAGACCAACTCGTCGTTATCATGTCGTTTTTGCGGTTTCATCTTGATAGCATACACAAACTGCCTGCCTGTGCCTGGCTGGCGGCCTGCCTGCTTTCCCAGTGCTGTAGCGCCACATAGAAGCCTGAATAGTTGCTAGTAGTATTCCTTCGGGTTCTTCGAATGTAATTATAGATATCTCGTTGTATAGCAGTATACATCTGAACCCATCCAAATTATCAAGCCGCCTATATTGCAGCTGCGGAGATTCTAGAACTTTCAGAACATCTGTATCTTTTCGGAGAGCTGGCTGCAGAGACTCGTGGTGGTGATTTTGTGCCCTAAACGTCGAAAACCTCCCGTAACCGAAAGCCTCCTAGACCCTAAACCCTACACCCTAAGTCGTACATCAAGAGTCTCCTCATCCCTACCTTAACCCCAAATAACCTACCTTTTCAAAGACACATATAAAGAAATCGAATTAGGAAACCCTAAAAACGGTAGGTTCCTTAGGGTCCAGGTATATAAACCCTACACCCTCAACCTGAAGTCTAATTACACCCTGCAAGACGAAGCTCAGGCGCCGAGACCGCCGGCTCTTTCAAGCCGTCAGAGGCGCGACCAACCCAGGCCCGGAGCTCGCGAAGAACGCAGGGCCTTTTTCCTGTCGTTTAGGGTTTCGGGGTTTAGGGGTTCTTCTATCCAACCTTTCACTGCCAGCCTGTACCAGCCCTATGGGAGCGGACGCTGTGGGACAGCGCCCTCTTCTGTAGGGTTTAGGATTTATATAGGGGTTTAGGGTTTAGGGTTAGGGGGGTTCTGTACGGGTTCTATAAGGTTCTAGTCGACGGTTTTATTGAGGTGCTCGGGCTTTCGCTTTCCTGGCACTTGGGGTTTGGAGCCCAGAGCCTTTAAAACTCTAGGGCTGCGGGTTGAAGAGGTACCCATACTCTTCCTTCTGTTTCCTTGTTATAGCCATACTATAAAGGAGCAGAACACCTCTATTCTAGTTATCACGTCAAGGCCCCTACATTAGCGCCTATCAACAAGTGGCAAGTCTCCAACAGTCGGCCGCGGAAAAAACATAAGCTTGTTTGAGTTGTTAAAGCCGAAATCCCCAGATTCCGAAAGCCCTAAACCTAAACCTAAATGTAAAGCACCTAATGTAGAAACCTGATTAAGAAACCTTGGGCCTTTATTAGGGTTCCTTACATGAGTCCTATTATTTTTGGTTTATAGGCCCAGGGTTAACCAGGTTCCTACAGTATACGCCTTAAACTCGAGACGAAAGACCCTCCCAAGACGGCAGGTTCCCTCATCCACCATGCCTGGTCACACTCCGACAAAGGCAAGAGCCAAAGGACCTTCATGTGGGTAGTTCTCTGAACTTGGCTCCCTTTCTAGGTCCCCAACATAGTACGGCACCCTTATACAAGGGACCTTAAAGGGACCCAATTTAGAGAACTACCCATGTGATGCAAGCTTCAGGTTCGTACTGCGCTTTGCAGAGGATTCTGGAGCTTCGGATAGGCTTTTTGGCACATCGTGGGCTTGCACTTGCAGTAGCCCAGAGAACAGCTTTCTCTGACTGGGTAGCGACATTGATTGCCAACCATACCTGATAAGATTCTTCACCTGTTGGTGCGCCGCGTGCGAGTTGGACCGGTTCTGTAGTTTTCGCAGACATCTACCCAAGCCTGACTTGTACACAAGTCGTAACCTGACGGAGCGAAACTCGGCCTACCGCGATAGCTCGATCGACTCACCCTAAACCCTAAACCCCTAAACCCTAAACCCCAGATGAGGTTGAGCATCCAGCGCCAACGCCGCAAGTGCGGAAGCCACAGAAGACCTCGGTCTACATGCATGGCTGCAGCCTCGGAAAGCCGAAGGGCAAGTAGTGCTATTGGCAGTGAGGATTAGGGGGACCCCTGGGGGATATAGACCCTCTCAATAAGGTCCCTTTTTAGAAGGGGTCTCCCTCATCATGCTACCCAGCTATAATTGTGGGTTAAAGTCTGCTACTTGGGGTTATCCTAGTTATTTCCTGTCTTACAACCTTACTTACTAAGTCCCATAAGCCTTTTATTTAAGCGTCGGTTCCGCACAGAAGTTCATGATGTGGCAAGTACGTGAGGGTTCTTCTCAACTGAGCTTTCCCTAAGCCCTATAACCCTTAAACCCTAATCCTTATGCCCAGTGAAGGACCTTTCAGGCTCCCGAAGTTGATTTCTTCAGGGTTTAAGTGCTCGGAGTTTCATTTCAGTCAGGGGCATGTAGACGACTGATTCGTACACCCCATTCAAACCTACCCAGGCTGATGGACAAGAGGCCTATTTCTTGCCTACAGTAACTTGTGCAACTCGTAGCGTACACCTACGCTCCAGTGGCTCGAGAGCAGACAGGTTATCCAGCACTGGGGACCCTCAACCTCGACCCTAAACCCTACACCCTAAACCCTAAGCCCTAAACCCTAAACCCTAAGCCCTAAACCCTAAGCCCTAAACCCTTCCTACTGCTTACATCTGTGAGTGGTCTTGAGAACGTATGTCCTGGAGCTCCAGATCCGACTTCTAGGAGGCATTTAAAGGTTAATTACTATAAGGTAGAAGCCAGAAAGTTGGAATATGATTATCCTAACCCTTCTATGGTAAATTATAGGGTATCCTACCATTTCTGGAGTTCCCTGTAGAAGCCTGAAAAGTTGCCAACATTATTCCTTTGGGTTCCTTCTTGTAGGGTTTAGGGTTGTAAAGGAGCTCAAAGACGTGTTCCAATCATTAAGGCCCCTACATTACGTTAAGCCTTATACTTAGATGTACTTAGAAAGGTTTGAAACATCAGTAGCATAGCGTCATCCCGCTGTCCCTGTACAGTCAGTACTTCAAACCCCTTTGCTGATAATCTATTCAGGCCCCTGTGGCGAACTTATAGCCTGGTTCTGGATTGTGCACTTGGCAGGTCCAGTGGGCACAGGCAAAACTATGCTTCCTGCCTGCATTCATCCAAGATTTGAGATTGATTTGGGAGTTTCCGATAAACAGGCGACCCTAATGTAGCACTCTAAATAGTGGGATCCTTTTATCAGGGCCCCAAAATAAGGTACCCCTTTTTTTTTGCAGAAACCTTTTGAAACCTTCTGCACTGTAAACCCTAAACTCAGCCCTAAGCCTCAAACTCCTAAACCCTTCCAACCGTTTATGTGGCTTAGGGCCTCCTCGACCTTGAACCCCTTTTAAGCCTGAAGCCCAAGGCTTATGGACCTCTTCTACGAGCATGCGCGGAAGGTCGCAGAGAGCTGATTTCGGCTTGAGTCCATGCTCCTAGGGCTGAGGGGTTTTAAGGCTGATCTTACCTTGGGTTAGTAGGAAATGGAGGAATGGGGTACAATTATAATAACTACTATTACCACTTACCACCATTCTTCCATTCCCTACAAACCAAAGGGAAGTTATGGTTTGAGGGTCTGGGGTTGAATTTTTCAGGGCTCGGCTCGGCCATTGGCAGTTTGGGTTGAGGGACCAGGGCTGAAGATTTGCGATCCAGGGCCAGGGTATCGGAGTCAGGGGTGAGCTTTGGGGAGTTTAGGGTGTGGGACTTATATGGGTGGCTGTCAAAATTATGGTCCCTAATGGGGTGCCCTAAACATTAAGTGCCGTATATTAAGGAAAAAGGGACCATAATTTTGACAACCACCCATATAGGATTTCGTGTACAGCTTAGGAAGTAGGGTTAAGGGTTGGGGTCAATTGTCTGGGCTGCTAGGATGCAGTACTATATTTTGATACCAGGGGGTGCTGGTAGCTTTCCACTTAAATATAGAGGTCTGAATAATTTGGACGAACGTAGAAACCTAAGCGAAACCCTGAACCCTTAACCGGCCCTAAAACCCTAAGCCCAAACGAAGATTCAGACTCTGGCACCTAGCTCTCACCTCCGAGAAGCATTGAGAATGAGGAGGTGTTGGGATGTGTTATATTACACGTCCATAGGGACAACTTGGGAATCCCCAAACCTACCGTTTCACGGGTTCTACCCTCTATGTAAATAAGGGGTCCTAACCCACTATGTTGTAGGGTTTGGGGTCACAGAAATCAACAGTACCATGAACAGCAGCATTCTTGCGGCCGGCTGATGCTGTCGGTTTGTGTGGCCAGCCATGTCATGCAATGATTCGGTGTCGAGAACTCCCGACCTTGCACACAGCGGGGTCGTACCCAGCATTGTCTTCACAGCTTTCAGTGTACTCGCGGTAGGGACAGAAGTACCAGTAAGATCAGTAGTATGATGACACTATTGCAAAAAGTCTCTCCCGATGTTTAAATTCTGCCGACGGCTAAATGCAACGGCAATGAAAAGCCTACTTAGAGGCCCAGGGGACTTAGTAAGTAGGTTATAAGTAGGGTTATAAGTACCCTAAATGGTGTTACCCCAATTATAACCCTACTTATACCCGACTTACTAAGTCCCCTGGGCCTCCAAGTAACCCCAGAACCCCCTTGTAGAACCCTGATAGATCCCTTTTAAGGAGCCCTTTCAGGAACCCTACTACTTACTAAGTCCGCTGGGCCTCCAAGTACGAGCCATTAGCAACTAACCGAAGCCCCCGGGGACGCAACCGGTCCTGCACACCCCAGGACATCATTTGCTCGATCCATTTTTGGGAGTTTCAGAAAGTTAGGGTACCTTATTTTGGGATATTTTGGGATCCTTATAATAAGGATCCTACTATTTAGGGTACTATATTAGGGTCCCCTATTTTCGGAGACTTCCATTTCGTGCTTGCAGGCTGGTCTACGCACAATGAGAAGGCACTTTTACGAGTTCATGATGGGCATTGGGCTTAGCAGGGTCTGGCGTTTGCCACGAGAGGCGGAGGGTCGAGAAGCAAGCGCCGACCATGAGTTGCAGTTATGTTCCTGGAGACTTGGGTGTTTTCGCTGTCCGGGCATTTGTGGTTGATCTGGTGACTGAAAAGTGGCCCCCTCAATTCTTGCATGGTGCTCAAACAAACCCTAAACCGCTGCCGAAAACATGCACAGCGACAGTCTCTGCTCGCCGGACTTACTCTGGTTTTCTGTTGACCAAGGTCGTTGCGCAAGGGCAAACTTATGCAGCCCTGTTTCTGCAGCTGCACAAAGCAGCAGAATGATCGAAAGAACCACGGGCTGAAAACTAGCACTCGTGCAAGACTCGTGCAGTACTATGCCTCAGACGAGAAGTAAGAAGAGTAGGACCGAGACGAAGAACAATCTGTGTTCGAGCTGATTTCGACTGATGATTGCACATCGGTGCAAGGTTTGGGGGATGTTTAGGGTTTAGTCTAGGGTAATTTCTACACGGCACGGCCAAAATCTGGTTGAAGGATTGAAGGCGTCCAGGTGAAAGAGCTATCTCTGCATCGAGTCTACTGCCCGGCCATCGTCGCGCGTGCGCAATTAGTGCAGCATGTAATGTCTGTATGGTCTGCATACATACATATGTATATATATACTATTTATTTATTTATTTATTCATTTATTTTTATGCTATATATAAGTATACAGCTGTATGTGTGTATATATATATATATATATATATATGTCTGTACACATGTGTATGTGAGTGTATTCGCGATTCACATGTGACGGTTGGTTCTTTTTGTTAGCCTTTATGCTACAATACCGTAGCCAACCATGTTCGGTTGTTAATATCATTTCTTCAAACCCACGGCTGTGCTCCCTTTTTTTGATGCAAAGGCTTGCACCGACAGATCCATCAAATCCAAGAGGATCGGCCAGTTGAGGCCACCGCAGCCTTTTCGTGGCTCTTGAGTAGACCTTTTTCGGTTTGATTTTCGGGGCTTGGGGCTTTGCGATATAGGGTTCAGGGTTTGGGGTCTAATTTCAGGTGGGTTTTGGGGTCAAAGCCCCCAGGGCGGAATGTTTCGGAGTTTCCGGTAATCGTTGCAGACACTGCGACCAATGTCTGAGTAGGCTTCGGAAGTGGATGATCCGAAAGCCTATCCTGGTGGAGATTAGATTCTTAGATATCCTTACCTACTCAAATCCTTATACTCACGTGGTAGTTCCTTTACTTGGGATCCCGACACCCTAAACCCTCCAAACGCTCCTCCGCCTAGTACGGAGGTCAGGATGCTTGGTAAATACCATCCTCTCCATAGTCACCGTAACTTCTAGCATACTATAGCCAAAACCATCCTAATCATTGAGGCCCCTATAGCACTGTTGTTCCCCCCCACCCACCCGTTTTGTACCCCCCGGGGATGAGGTGGCAGCGAACTCGTTGGCCGACGACATTGACGTCCTGTGCTTCGACGAGTTCCAAATCACGGATATCCAGGCCTTTTTGACTAGCAACATGGAGAGATAGGGAACAGGGAGCCGGGGTTTATAGGCGTCTGGAGGGTTCGGGGAGATATCCGGCCTTGTTTGCTCCAGTTACGGCTTATGGTATGCCTATACCAAGGACGTCACTGCAATTGTTTTGGCGGTTTTGTCGGGCTGTATATCGGGATTACGGGTGCCACAAGCAACATGCAATGGTTCCATAAAGCTTCTTGGTTGAGTTTTGTTTAAGCCAGGTTTCATAGGTTTGGGGTTTTGGGGTCTAGGGCATGTTTAGGGGTTTCTGGAGCGTCGTGTTCGGAGGTAAAGCGGTTTAGGACTTCAGGGCTGCAGGGGTCGAGGTTCTGGGTGGCTGGGATTCTCTATTTGGGAGTTTCCGAAAATGGGGGACCCTTAGGTAGTACCCTCAATACTAGCATCCTTATTATAAGGACCCCCCAAGTACGGTACGCCTAATTTTCGGAAACTACCATTTCTATGAGAAACAGACTTTCGATTTCTGGAGCCCAAACCAAAAACTTTACCCTAGGGCCCCAAGTTTCTAGAGGGCTCCGACGGCTTTGACAGGATAAGCATCCTGAATGGCCATGACAATTAACTCGTCGACTATATTCTATAGTCTCTTTAGGAATTATCTTTTATTTCTGTTCATATAAAACCCAAGAGAACATTAAACATATGATTTTTCTTATGGTTCTAAGGGGGGGTATAGTATTTGACCAAACATGCTGGTGCCCTGTCCAAAAAGTCGGAAGTTTGGAGCTCTGGACGTTGGCGGCCTGATCCACCACATAGTCCCACGCCCTAAAATGTTAAATTCTGAGTTCGAAGCTCAACTCGTGCAGGATGCAGCCATCCTTCCGCGTCTCTTCGAGGCGTGGGACCTTGCCCTTGTCAGTTTTAGGACAAGGCTTGAGGATTCAAGGGCACGCCAGGGGTCGGGGTTTCGAGCCATGGGGTCTAGCGTTCACAGGCCTGTAAGGATAAATGGCGATCCGTGCAGCCTGCATGCAGAGGTCTTGTTCCTGCGGGGCGTTACCGTGGCGGCCGCCTCAGGGCTTTCTGTTTTGGAGCTATGACTAACTAGGTAGAGTTTGGGCTTAAGATTTAGGGAGAACCCTGTTTTTCTCTTAGATCCACACTGGTTTGGCTCGAAGGGCCATGCGGACAGAGGTATGCCTGCTGTAGCCATGTTTCCCGAGCGTTCTAGCGACCATGAACCTGCCGATACTTGGGAAGCTACGGCCATACGAAGCTTGCAGGATCTCAGAATCTCGGCAGGAAGCACGCGCATGTAAGCGCCGTTTAGGGTGGCGGTATTCCGCTATGCCTGGTTAGGTGTCCGGTCGCTTGGCGAAGCAATCGCGTATGCAGCTGTAGTGCAGCTGAAAGCATTCGGTCGCCGCTGTGTATACGAGAGCTGTGTATAGTCGGGACACCATGAAGAAACAATCCACAGCTTCTGGACACCCTTAGACGCAGCCCTCAACCCTAAACTCAGATATGATTGTCCGTGCAAGTGCAGATGACAGAGGTGATGGTCATGCGATGAGGGCGATGGTGGTGCTTGGGTCCTGTGATCGTGTTCATGATGATATTGGCGGGTGAAGATGCTGATGGCGATGAGGAGTGTGAGGGCGATGATGAGTGCGACGAAGGCTGACTTACATGATGGTTTTACTAACAGCCTTCCATAGAGAGTGTGTGTGTGTGCGTGCATATGTCTATGTATGCATTCATGTATGTATACATGTATGTACGCATGTATGTATATACATATGCATGTAATGCATGTATGCATGCCTGTGTATAGGTATGCACACGTGTGTAGGTAATCATATAGACAAACATATATATATATATGTACATATACACACCTATGTGTACATATATATATATATATACACCTATAGCTAAAGCTATATCTGTATCTATACCAATGTCTATGCATATATCTTTATGTATGCATGCGCACACACACACACACACACACGCATCGGTATTACCATAACTCTCCATGCAGCTGTTCTTGAGTCCAGCGCGTTGCACCTTTGTAGTCGTGTGGCATGGTGCTGGCGCAACGAATCTTACGTCAGGTCATGACATCGAACACCTCACCGCAGCTGCTCTACAGCGGCCTGACCCTGAGCCCTGAGCTCTTCGCGTGGATTTCACTGGACAAGCGCTAACAGGCAAAGGAAGAACCATCAGCACCAGCGCAAGTCTATCATCGCTGCAGGTGCATGTCTATTGGTCAGCAGACTTAACCCCTTCATTTGCAGAACTATAAATTAAATACCGATTCCACATATCATCGGCATGTCGAAGCTACAGCAATGCATGTAAAGAAATTGACAGCATGCGCAGCAACAGGAAGAGCCTGTTTGCGCACCTGTTGGCGCAGCAGATGCAACCACTTCCGTCAAGCACAATGCTCCCAAAACCTGAGCCTCCCTGGCCACTGAGAAGCATCAGAGACTTGAATCAGAGGTGGTTTGAATCGGCATGTGCATCTTCCGTCATTCATCAGTGTCCTCGCCTGGTCCTTGGTTCACTGGGCTGAGGGACAGGAAGCCATGTGGTTAACTGGTCGGGGCCTGTACCTATAGTTATGCAATGATGGATGTGCCAGGCTTTGGGTTGAGGTGCTTTGCATCCACACTGGCCAAGATAAGCATGATCGCTGAGCCGGAAGCCCGACACCCCAGAACCTAAAAGGCGTGCCTGAAATGATAGTTAAAGGCTTCCTGAGGTCTAACCCTCAACCCTAAACACGGACCATGCAGCAGCCAAGAGAGCCTACAGACCAGCGAAGACCTAGGCTTAGACATCGAGCAGTCTGTGGCATAGGATGGTTTCGAGCATATGACTAGGATGCCGGGTAGTACGCTTATTCCCCTTTTGTAGTCCTAGGTTCGTTATAAGAGTACCCAGTACCGAAAAGGGAGCCCTTTCTATTCCTAGGTTGCTGGGCATCCTAGATGATGTAATCACCCATAGGCCCCATAGTAGTTCCTTCTTTGGGGTTCATATTTGGACTTCTATAAGGTAATCCCCAAAAGGAACTACTATGGAGCCTACGTGGTTAGTCAGGGCTTCATGCGTGGTTTTAACCTAGGAGCCCTCAGTCCAGGGGCTCTGCCCTTTGGGACTCAGGGTCTAGGGTCTGGGGTTTACTTGGAGGTACATGGGTAGTTATAAGTAGGGTTATAAGTCCCTTAATATGGGCTATATGTATAGCTACCCCCGCTTATAACCCTACATAAAACTACCCATGCACCTCCAAGTAGGGTTTAGCTTCATCATCCTTCAGCCCCTGCACCCGGAAGGCTTAGGGGTTCCCCCCCCCGTTGAAGGTAACCCTCAAAGGCTCGTTTCAAGTCGCATGAGTCAAAACTTCAGCTTCCTTTGCCACCAACCCCCATCTTCGAGACCCAAGCCCCTAAACCCTAAACCCTAAACCCTAAGACCCTAAACCCTAAGACCCTAAACCCTAAGACCCTAAACCCTAAGACCCTAAGACCCAAGCTCGCATCCTGCATCTCGGATCCTGGAGCTGCAAGCCTTGGTTCGGGGTTGCGCTTGTTCAGGGTCAGCCCTTTTAAGCCTTTCTCTGTGGGCTTTTTCGGGCCGCGGGGACTTCAGGCTGCTTGAAGACCGTCGGGGCTTCAGTGTACGGTGTACGCCCTTTACACACAAAAGCAAACCCAAACAAAGGCTCCAAGTACCCATTAGTAGGTACTTAGGCCTTAAAGTACCCAAGGCCGAAGTGCCAAACAAAATGGGTACATGGAGTCTTAGGGAAACCCCTAAGTCCGCAGATGCTGCGTCCCTTCGCCTGCAACCTGGAGCCCTTCTCCAGGGTTCAGGGTTCGTCATGGGATCCCGACACCCTACAAAGCCCTAAACCCAAAAAGCCTGAACCCCAAATGGAAAAGAGGCCCCTCAAAAAAACAAAAGAACCCCAAACCCTTCGAGGGAGACTACTGCCTCGTCCTGGGCCTGGGCGCGGGCGGCAAAGCTGCCAGGTCCCAGGAACTTAGCACTCGGGATAGGCTTTCGGAGGTATCTTTTAGTTTGGTAATGCTACTTCTACTTTATTCATATCGTTTAAAGCGTCTTCTTACTAATGAGCCGTCAGCTCTAAAGGTATGCGTTTCAGACCCGTGCCTTTCGGGTGAGGCTATATACATACGCATCCCTCCATCCATCCATCCCGTCCATCCCATCCCATCTATGCAAGCGAGTCACATAGTTTCGGGTACTAGGCTTAGGATTGAGGGCTCAAGGTGCAGACGGGTTTCTGATTCAGGGTTGCATTTTGGGCTCTTGGTTCTAATGAGATCCTGTACCCCTACATATAATATCTGCATCTACATGTGATACGCATGCGTATATATCCATAAACGCACATACAGGAGATATACACACACCCACACGCATACATACGCACATACACACCTACACATGTACACACCTACACAAATACACACATACACACATCCATGCATACATACATACATACATGCATACGCACATGCACGCAAACGTGCATACACAGCCCTGAATCAACCCACGCCCTCGCTCACGAGGTCGACTATCGCCGACAGGCTGAAGCAGCCGAGCAAGCTGAGGCTTCCATCATTTTGATTTTGTTTTTTTGGGGTACCTAAGACCCAAGAGTTCCTTTAAAGGGTGACGAAGGGGTCCAACAAGGGTCAAATTCTTTTAACGGGCTCTAGAGTGGGTTTAGGGTTACAGGGGATTGAGGGGTTGAGGGTTTTGCGGTTTCATGAGGTTCTACAAGGAACGACCACGGATTTTGGACAGCAGATCTCTACGGCAAAGATACATGGGTTCTACAAGGGCTTTGGTGTTTTACGGTTCAGGGTGCATCGGTAGTACAGAAGTCTCACATAGCCCTTTGAGGACCTTGAGAAAACCCCAAAAGAACCCTTGTTGAATCTCGATAGAATTCGTGTAGACCTCTGCACTGAGGTTTAGGGCTAAGATACTCCAGGGTCTTGTGAGGGTAACTTAGTCGGGATTGACAGGGTTCCTGTTGAGGAAGTTACTTCTAAGTTGCCAGGAGAATGACTCGCTCCCTCCTGCCCTATACCCCCCCAAAAAGCCTTTTGCAAGTACTTGCGAAGGCCTTGCCAAGCTTGATCCCCGACCCTACAGGCGAATTAATAGCAGTAGTCGTCGTAGAACGGCAGTAGCACTTCAACACTCTGCAGCAGCAGTAGCAGCTACGGATTATGGCATCCGCAATGGAAGTCCTACTCAACATGAAGATTGTAACAGCAACAGCACTCGTGGTGCTAGCAACCGTCACAGTCGAGCAATAGTTCTCAGAGCAGCAGCAGCAGCAGCAGCAGCAGCAGCAGCAGCAGTAGCAAGCATTTCCAATCTTCCAGATTCTAACACTACGGTTGGCAGTTTAGGGCTCAAGTCAGGGTAAAATTGAGGGTTTAGGGGGTTAGGGTTTAGGAAGCACAGAGCCAAAGATGCTTTTGTTTATCCAGACTGGGGCCTGAAGCCACCCCCCTTCGTATCGCGCCGTGAGCGTAGAGGCCCAAGGCAACATGATGTTCAATTCTTTAACCCTGTGTAAAACCTCTTGAAGCACATACTACAGGTTCTCAAGCGCAGCAAATCGCTATTCTGTCAGTAAGAAGCGTGCCGCTCATTAAACTCCACGCTGCACGCCCTGCCGTGTGTGAAATGAAGCCGTGTAGAACCTCTCTGGAGCCCCGATAAAATTTCAAGCGGCATAGAATCCCTAAAGAAACCTGGTGGAATCTTGAAAAGATCCCATACAGCAGACACCCGGTGGGACCCTTGTTGTTGGAGGCCTAGAGGACTTAGTAAGTCGATTACAAGCAGGGTTATACTAGTGGTAGCTCCATTTAGGGTAGTCATGACTCTACTTACAACCTACTTATTCAGTCCCCTGGGCCTCTAAGTACAGGACCCTTGTAGAGCCCTTATAGACCTGACATGAGCAGACAGCCGGTAAACCCTAAACCCCAAAACCCTAAGCCCCTAACCCCTATACAGAGTCGTCAAAATGGATGGGAAGGTCTATGCCCACGGACATTTCAATTCCAGTGGCGTCCCCTACCACTCATTGTTCACCACTGTCGCGTGGCGTATTCGGATCCAAGTCGCTCTTCGCCTGGCAGCTGGCCGGACACTCGAGCTGGCTGACCTGAAGTCGGCGTTCCAGTTGTTTGGGGTAGAGCTCAATCCAACAGAGCTCATCTGGAAAGATTTCTCCGAAGTCAAGATTCTCGGGCACTTTCTTGTGCCCCTTGAGCTTGCAAACTCGACGCCGAGCAAGCAAGGCGGAAAGAACCTGCGGTTCCCGCCCGGCACCAAGGTGGCAATGTACGATCAAGAGATAGACGTCTCCGGACAAGAGATGCTTTTCCCCACACTTGGGGCCAAGCGGATTGCAATCGTCAGTGCACATCCCTTGGTCCGCACAGGGGAGTACAGCGACAAGGGCAAAGAGCAACTGGCCATGGCGCCTGATGCTCAGGCCGCTCGCTATGCCTCATATCTGTTTTCTGGTGGCCTGGTCGGGCCAGCAGTGCTCAGAGAGGCATTGTAGAAGCGCTATCTTGAGACGGCGTCTGGTGGAGTTTCTCCGGGTGAAACTGCCTCATCACTGGCTTCGCTGGCTGGTTTGGCCCATGAGGATGAAAAGTGGCTTCTTGGAAGTGCTGAGTTAAACTCCAATCCTTCCTTTGTTACTTTGATTGAAGGGTTCTACCCCGGCATCTTGAGCACTTTTCGTGACGAGCCTCGCTTCAAGTCGATGTTTCGCTCGAAATCTTTGCTGAAGCCGAAAGATGACAAGGTCCAGGCACACGTGCCGTTTGTCATTCAGCGGCCCAAGGTTCCTGAAGCGCATCAATTGAACACAGCGTGGGATGCCTTGTTGGGCAAAGGTGATCAGGTTAATGCCGCGGCAGTGCTTGAAGCCCTTCAGTTCGAAGAAGCTCCCGACCCAACCTCTCCGCGCTCGCTTGCGTCTGAAGAGGCAGGACGAGCGTTGACTACCAAGCGTATGCGCCGTCGAATGAAGAAGATGCAAAGCGATGGCGATCAGGCTACTGCTGCAAATCCTCTTCCGACCAGCCACACCGCTGATAGGTGGGCTTCTGTTTTCGCGAAAGCGGGGCAGAGAACCGCAATTGCCAAGGCTTCCAAGGATCGCAAAGCTAAGACGCGTCGTGCCAGTCAGAGCAAGAAACGCCAGCTATTACTTGGAACCAAGCTGCAACGGCCAAGGATGCTTTATCAACAATCCCTCACGAACTTCATGTTCTTCGAAACAAGATACGCTGTCAACTCAATGAGGATGCTGAGCTGCGCTCTGCTGCTGCTTCTTTTCTTCGTGGCGTCATGGATGAGTACTGAGCCGATGTAGTTTTTTAGATTCTGTTCCTGCAAGCTGCATGCAACTGTCATGGCGGTAGTCTCACGTACTTGTACCGGATTCTGCCGACCCGGAATTGCCTAACCCCTATACCCTAAACCCCTAAACCCCTGAACCCCTAAACCCCTAAACCCCTGAACCCCAAGCCCGTAAACCCCTAAACCCTAAACCCTAAACCCCTAAACCCGACAAGCACATGGACAGGGAGCATCGGGGACCTTTGGTCCGAATCCGAGGATTCCCTTGGGGCATCAGTTGTTGGGGTTTAGGGTTTAGGGTTGTTCAGGGGTTTGGGTTTAAAGGTTTAGGGTTTAGGATTGTTTAGGGTTTAGGGTTTAGGGTTGTTTTGGGGTTTAAGGTTTAGGAGTTTAGGGTTTAGGGGTTTTTTGTGTCAGATGGAAGAAGGTTGAGGGTGTCGAGGCTAGAGGAGCTGTTTAGTGTTAAGGGTGACTTTGGGAGTTTATGCTCCGGGCTTTGGGTGGGCCCTAAAGGCCCGACCCCTGCGACTAAACCGGATTGCTGAGCCGGAAAAGCAAAAATAAACCTTAAACCCTAAACCTTAGAAGCTGCCCCCACCCTGTAATATTAGGGCCCTAATTTAATCCTTATTGTCACTATTGCAGGCTGGGGACAGCCTCTAACCTAAACCCTAAGCCCCAGTTGTGAACCTGTGAGGGTGGTTTCGCACAAGTCCCTGGGGAGAATCTTCGAGCAGAAAGCTGATAAGCCCAGGGTGGGATGCTCCTGTGTAGTCTGTCCGTGAGTTCCTGCTGCGGTTCCGGGTGGAAGCTCTCACGGCGGATTGATTGCTGAATTGCTGGCTTGCAGGTTCTCAACGCGAGCGCAACCTAGCCTTTGAGTTCTCATGACGCAACTACCTCAAGAGGCCACCGCCAGGCGCGCTGGCTTTCGCCCAGCGTCGGCAATCCAATGGTTATTGATGTGTACAAGAGAATGGCAGTCGGAACCAATGAAACCCTGTTTCTCTGCTGTAGAACTGGTGAAGCCTTGAGCAGCAGGTTTCAAAGACTCGTGAACGCACAAGCCCCCCGAGTTGCCTACACCTGAGGGCTCCAGTTACCTAAATAGTAGGTTACTGGGGTCCATTGTATATGGGTGATTGCCAAAACTATGGTCCCTTATCGGGTCCTTAGTATAATACGGCACCTAATATTTAAGGTGCCCCAAAAGGGACCCTAATTTTGACAACTACCCATATATGGTTAGTAACCTACGTTTTGGGTTACTGGAGCCCTAGGGTACCTCTTCGGCGACGATGCCGAGAACCGGCTCTTCGCGCAGTGGGAGCAGTTGGCAGATGCAGCATCCTCAAGGGAGCTCGCGTTGATATTCTCAGGGCTTGGGTGGAGGGAGGGTTGATGACATAAATCTTGGGTGGAGGGACGGTTGATGATATAAATCCTGCATTACCCTACTGACGCTAGACTCGGGGAATTATGATATATTCCTTATTCTGGGTTGCAGGATTTGTATCATCAACCGGATGAGGCTGTGTTCAGAGATCCCAATACCCCTTAATTAAGGAATATACCCTTAAATTACAGGGGCCTTAATATTATGGTTTAAGGTATCTTCCTCAATAAATCTGTATTGGTACTGGGATCTCTGGGTGGGGATTAGTTTTGGAGCCAGTTCGGAGTTTGGAGTTTAAGAGTTGGCAGTGGGAATCAAATTCAGGAATACGGCTTTCTTTGCGGGCTTTGGGATTCTAGGTTGCTTCTATGGTGTCCTCACCCTTGCCCAGTCTCCACGAAATTTGCATCGTCTGTCGACGCACGACTCCTAAACTGCCGTGAGCGCCGCTGACCATCTGCACTTGGAGGTTCATGGGTAGTTATAAGTAGGGCTATAAATCCCCTAATATGGGTTATAAGTATAGTTACCCTACTTAACGGAATGACTCAGCAACGCTGCACACAACAGCGACGTCAGCCCGTTGCAATGAGGACCCCAAATCCACGACCAGTGAGGTCACCTGTGCTTTTTGCGTGTGGATTGGGGGGGGGTCTGGGGGCACCCAGAATCGCTATCGTCATCGTCATCATAATCGTTTCTTCATCTTCATGCTCCCCTTTATGAAAACATCATCAGCGATTCCGTCTCCATCAGCACGAACATCTTCAAAGCAGTCGTTCTTCAATGTCTAGGAGTCTAGGGTTGCCATGATCAGCACGCACGTTGGTCCTTCTAGCAACTTCCATCTTTGCCATCAACATTATCATCGTCGCCGGGGTCAAGGTTTCAGCTTTTATGGTTCGTGGTCTTCGTGCTCTTCTTCATAGGCATCTTCGCCTTGGCTGTGCCTTTTCAGGGAAGTGTCCACATCCAAAGCCCGCTGGTGACGATGATGGTTCGATGATGACGATCAGACCGCGAGGATGACGCCGACGCTGAAGATGATGCTGACCATTATGATGATGATAGGGTTTACTGTAGGGTAGACGGGGATGCCGATCTTTCATGATAGCGAGGTTCCTAAGCAGAGCTTTTGCAACACGTTTCCATGTCATGCAGTGGCTACACCCCCGAGTGTAAACCCCTCACAAAGAGCCACATTCTGGTCTGGCCTAGCGATCCAAGCCCATACGAGAAGAAAATTAAAACTGAGGCACCCTCACATGAGGAAACACTTGATCCAGAAAACAGGACGCTGAGCATAAAAATCCCCAAGAACATAGAACAGAATCCAACATATCAGCGCTTGACCATAAACTTAAATCTCAAGCCATTCCACAGACGAAACTCAGTCATCCGTCAGGCCAAAAACGAGACGAGGGACTTTCTTCTCACGCTTCCCATGGGACGGGGTCCCAGTGAAGGTTGAGTTTCTCAGGGGTTCGAGCATTTTGAGGCTCTGATTCTTTTTGAACTAGGGATCCTATGACCGTGGGGTCCTTACTCGTGCGGCACTGACAAATAGCCAGGCAATACCTGGAGTCTATTCAGGGCCGTGCTAGTGCCATCCCAAAAGTTGCATTGTGCATAGTCGCACCGGCATACATGTTGATGCAAGCTTCGTCAGAGAATACTTAAGAACAGCACTCTCAGAGCTAGATGCATTGGCTTCGGACGATGTGTCAATGTAATTGCTTGTTGGATCTACCTCGTACATGTTCAATCCGAACCTCCAGCAATCCTTGCTGCAATCCGCGTCTAGGCTAGAATTTCGGTAGCTCCTCGACGTGAGCGTTGCTTTTGGCGATTAGCAGAATCATGACTGAGGCTTCCAACAGTTTATTACAGTGTGTCTAGACGGTACGTACCCAGACATACACACCAGCAGATACATACATACATATATATATATATATATACATATATATATATATATAGATAGATACAGATACAGGTCTAGATGTAGGTATAGATATAAGTGTGTATTATGGTGTAGTGCACATGATTTATGTGTATATATATATATATATACTTACACACACACATACATGCATGCATGCATGCATGCATGCATGCATGCATGCATGCATACTTACATACATACATACATACATACATGCATGCATACATACATACATACATACAAGAGAGAGAGAGGGAGTCGGACAGCTGCTGGGCTTGATTGACGAGCTTTGAGACCCAACTCCCGGCCTGAAACCCCATCTTCCAGGATTCCAGCATCTCTCAGAACAACACACAGGGCTCCTTAATGGGTTCTTTAAAAGGGCCCTTAAAGGGATTTCCTGAAAGGGGTCCTTAAAGGGATCAATAAGGGGTTTGCGACCCCCCCGAAAAAAATTCTAAACCCTTTGGCCCGAGAGCCCAAACCCCGACCCTAAACCCAAAACCCCAACCACGGCACACTCTGAGGCTGGGTGGGGGTGGCGTCTTACGGGTGTTTGGGTGTTTCGGGAGAAGATCTGGAGTGCAAGGTTTGCAGTCGGGTGTTTTGGTTTTGAGTTTGGGATGTTTTGGTTTTGGGATTTGGAGTTTTTGTTGCCCAACGCGCTTCAGCCCTAAACCCTAAACCCTGAAGCCCAATTTGTGCGTTTCCGAGGGCGCACCTTGAAAGTCCGAGCAGCTTCAGGCCATCCGATTAGGGTTTAGGGTTTAGGGTTTCAGGGTTTAGGGTTAAGGGTTTCAGGGTTGAGGTTTAGGGTTTAGGGTAGTTTCCTAAGTTAGGGCCCCTTTTTAGGGTCCCGTTTAAGGGTGCCGTAATAGCCGCGGGCTCAGGCTCCTACCAGGGGTGCGGCCGTTTTTCAACAGATCGCCTGAGGGACCGTTTCGCCATGGCTGAATCAGCAGCTGCTGTGATAGATCTGGCCAGTTCCTGTAACTCGGTGAGTAGAAGGTCTGTGCTCACGGAGCAGGCTGATCATTGGGCCACGTCTGAAGGCCCTCATGCTTTTCAGATCACGATTAGGCAAGATGGAGTCAACTTTCAAATGCGTGCTGCGCCAGCTGACACTGTTGCTGATCTCTTGATTGCTGAGGCCAGGTTGTCAGGTTTTGGCAAGCGCTTAAACCTATATGATGAAGGACGGGTCATTCCGCCATCCACCCCACTGCAAAGCCTTGCAGGCAGCCCTTCATGTGTGCTCTCAATTGCTGACAAATGTCAGGCCAGACCCCTGCCAGAGCTGGCGGTTCATGCCGTTGTAATTTCCTCTAGTGGAATAACTGAACATCGGATCCCAGCTGGCACTTTTGCTTTTGAGGTGGTTCCTTCTGATGCCTCCTGGCATCGCTTGTGCTGCCGTGATGGCTTGACCGGAGCAGGCTTCCCCTTGGATTCCCGCCTCTGGAAGGACGTGATCATGGACTTGCGAATTCCCTGCATACATTCCTCCGATGCTTTTGGCATGTCAGACACGGCAGTTGATGCAGCTTTAGGTCACTTTGTGGACTTAGCATCATTTCCTGGCTTATGCATTCTTCCGAGTGCCGTCGCCACGACGGTCGTTGAGCTTTCAATGCAGGGCTTGGCATGTCGTTGTCTTGAGGTGCTTCCACGAGCCAATGTGCACACGTTGCTCGCAGCCTTTGTCTATAATGGGCATTGGAGCTTGGTCCACATGTCTCGAGCCTCGGGTGAACGCCTTGTTGCTGTCAGCTTGGATGGTCTTCCTGATACTTCGGTGGTGCCTGCAACTGTGTTGGTGGAAACCATAGCTATGTCATGGGGCCTGACGGTTGCCCCATTGCAAACTTTATGCTTGGTTCCTCAGACAGATTGCTTTGCTTGTGGCCAAATTGCTGTCGCACATGCGGTTTGTGTTGTCAGCGGTTGCTCGCAGCTTCCCGACGGTCTGTTGTCACGAATTTTTGCGTTTGTCTCCACCTTGCCTGCTCATCGAGCTCGGTTTGTTGGCACGGGCAAGCTAAGTGACGAGTCTCATGCTGCGCTCCGGGCTTTGTTGCTTGAGAAGGGCGTCCCAGAGGCAAAAGTTGATGAACGCATCAAGGTCGCAATTGACAAGCTTGGCCCAGGATTAGCCTCAGAGGCATTGGCAGCCAGGAATCCCTGGCAGGCGTTAAAAAATGCAGCATCGAGGCCTAACAGCATGTTTCGTTGGGTGTTGCCAGATGAGTTGGAACAGCACGTGGCTATGCGGGCTGCCTCGCTTCATGGCACGACTGTTCCAAAAGCCAAGGCCAAAAAGCAAAAAGCGCCCAATCGAAAGCCAGTCAGCGCACCGTTGTTTGTTGAACCTTTGCACCTCCAGATGTCTTCGGGCTCTTTTGTGTCTGGTGAGGATGATAAGATATGCCAGTTATCGCTCAGCGAAGTTGTTCCTCAAGCCCGGGGACTGGCTTTCTGCACTGTGCAGCAGCTCGCTCCATTTCTGTCTCCGTACAAGGCGCTCAGTGTTGAGGCTTTAGGGCTCGTGTCGACTTCGGTGGTGCCTGAGGCAGCTATTGCGGGTTGCCCAGCCAGTACCATCAAGTTTCCTGCGGTTTACACTCCCACAGGAGAGGGCATCATCTTGACCGGCACCCTTCTGCAACTCGGCGACGAGGAAATCCAGCTACGTCAGGAGGATATCGCAGAATTGGAGCAGGTGGAAACCAAGGTCGTAAAAGTCACAATCTTCCGAGATGAGTTGCAGACCCCGTGGGAACAGCTGCTTGAAGCTCCCATTCGCCACCTCCTTCAAATCGTTGCTGAGCTTAATCTCTGCAAGTCTCCATTGTGCAAAGGCGAGTGCGGAAAGTTCCACGCCGCAGTGGAAGAATCAGTAGACAGCGTCGTTCTGGATGTGTGGAGCCGGCAGTGGCAGAAGCTAGAAGGAGGCAAGGAAGATGCCAAGAAGGCTCAAACGTTCTCGGCGTTTCTGCGCGTTCCGGGAACGGCAGTGGCCTTGCTCCAAACAACTTCCTACAAGGGCATCTATTTCGAGCCTCGGAATGCTGCGGGAGGTGCCGATCCATCCTACGCAGTCATCTGGCTGTCCAATATGGATTTGCAATCAGCGCAGCACGCCTGTCGCACATGCGAAAAAGCTATCGCTCTCACAAGATTGGGTCGAAAGTTCGGCCTCCGTGTCAAGGAATCAGACGAGGAAACCATGTTCATGCGATTCCGCCCTCAACATCAGTTCGTGAAGGTGCACATTTCCGCGAAGTATAGGCTGCATCCCTTGCCTTTTGGATTTCAGAGGAAAGGGCTTACTCAACTTCTGCGCCGATGGGGTTGGACTGCCCGGCCATTGCAACCAGGTCGGGGCGATGCTTCCGGCACCGCGTGGGAAGTTGGCGCCTCGGAGGACCCACCTTCCTGGACCATGCCTCTTGCCGATGGCTTTGTACTCATTGCCAAGTTGCGAGAGCAGACTTCTTCTTCTGTCACTCCGAGCGTTTGGGCTTCCACAAAGACCCGAAAGCACATCCTGTATGACGACGGGGAGCCCGCCTCTGGGGACACTTCAGACCCATGGGCTAATGGCCGCGACCCATGGTCACAGTCCAAACTGCCAGCCGCCAACTCAGCAACGTCCTCAACAGCTGCAACCAAGCTCGCGCAGATCTCCTCGGATTTGCGGAATGACATGCACCAGATTGCCAAAGAGCATGCCTCTCAGTCATCTGGCCTTGACGCTTCTTCTGAGGCTCGATTCCGCAGGTTAGAAATCGGCCTTGATGAGGTCCGTCTCCAAAACGAAAAATTCGAGTCTTGGTTTGCCACATTTGGTGGCAAGATGTCCACTCAAGCTGAACAGATCAAAGGGTTGTCTGATGCCGTCCAAAGTCAAAGCTCTGAGATGGGTCAGTTGCGCACTGAGGTCCATACAACGGTCAGTCAGGCAGTCCAAAGCCTACAGAACGACATGACGCAGCAACTGTCATCACAATTAGCCGGCCAGCTGGAACAGATTCAGCAGCTTTTTCACAAAAAGCCCAGGCAAGAGTGACTAGGCCGCAGCAGCCGCAGGTTTGGGAGTTCCTGCGGGCTGTGTCTGTGGCGGTGCACTCCTGTACTGAGATTTCTCGCTCTTCTCGTCTGGACTTTCCTTCCGGCGGCCCATGGTTCGGATCATGTGGATTTTGACGGAGCCTGGGCCAAGGACCAGTTTCATGAAGTTGATGCCTCTTATGTGCGTTCTCATGGCTGCCCATCCTTCCGCATCGGTGAGGCTGCCAACCCTGGCCCTTCATGGGGCCCTTCTTGTCTTCGAATCGCCACCTCCAATCCCAGTGGACTCAGAGGGAAAGAGTCACTTTGTGTGGATTTTGGCCCTGGCATCTTCTGCTACAGCGAAACCCAGTTGTCGCAGGAAACGCAAAAGACGTCCTGTGCCAGCTTACGGCATTTAGCTAGATGCGAATGCCGAGAATTGAGATGCTTCACCGGCAGTCCGGCCCCGCTCAGATCGGGTTCAGCCTGGGCAGGTGCTTGGACTGGTGTCTTAACTACCTCCGATTTCGCATCTCGCAGCGTGAATCTGCCCTACCCTGAGGGTTTGTTCGGGACGGGTAGAATCCAAACCACGTACCACGCGGTGGGGCATTTGCCAGTGGTGTGTGCGAATGTGTACGGTTTCTGCTCAGGCCCAACTCACCCTCAAGCTGTGGCACAGACCAACTCATTACTTGAACCGCTTACGGCCGAGCTCGTACTTGGACGGACTGGCCCTCGCGCCATTTGCGGGGACTTCAACCAACACCCTGATCACTTAGAGCAGGTTCAGATGTGGCTTTGCCATGGCTGGCAAGAGGTTCAAACCATCGCGGCTTTGAGGTGGCACCAAGAAATCTTGCCGACGTGCAAATCAGCAACCCAGCGTGACATGGTGTGGGTTTCGCCTGAATTGGCCGCCATGTTACAAGCTGTGGAAGTCGTTGATATTTTCCAGGAGCACAGTACGGTCATCGCCTCCTTCAGCGTTCCCGACCAGGTTGTTATGGCTAACGTGTGGCCGTTACCTTCTGAGATTCCGTGGCATCTGGTGGACTTGGACAGGCTTGCTCAGCAGGCCGTGGCGGTGCCTTTTGCTACACAGGCCCCCAATGACTGGTTGCGCGATTTTTCGGTTGCTTTCGAGTCCAGTCTGCAAGGTTGCATTCGCGAAGTGCCATGTGGGCGTTTGCCTTCTAGCTGCAGGGGACGTGGCCAACGAACGCATCCTGAAACCCGTTCCTTCCCCACCATTCCGCTACGTCCCAGCCGTGCTGGCGAGGACTCGTTGAGGCATGACTTTGTATGCATGGAAGTCAAGCGGTGGTTCAAACAACTCCGCCGTCTGCAAAGCTTGGTCCACGCACTGGCGGCTAAGAAAGACACTCCTGCTGCTCACTGCTATCGCATTGATCTCTGGCGCTCCATCCTGCAAGCCCCTGGATTCGCCTACGGCTTCTGTCGCTGGTGGGCTACGCGACAGGTGCAGCTTCAAGGCGCCCCCGAAGCGCTCCCAGTGACCATACCTTCGCTTCTTGTGGCTCGCGCTGTCCATGAGGACTTCAGGGCAAATTTCCGCAGGCTCGAGGCTTGGCACATACGACGCCGGCAAGATATCTTGAAAGCGCGTTTCGCCACTTCCCGCGCAGAACTTTTGCGATCTTTGAAGGAACCTTCGCCGCCCCAAGTTGACACGTTACAGGTCCACCGCACTTACACTGTGCTCGCGGTTGAGCCGTCTACCCAACAGGTACAGGTTGAACCAGCTGTTGACAACAGAGGTTCTTCTCTTTGGACTATTCAGGATTCGCGTGTCGTTGTCAGTGATATCGACTGTGATGGCGAAGTCTGTACCATTGTTGGGCCTTTGCAAGTTGAGGAAGGAGACGAGCTTGAGCAACTCCAAACGCTCTCCTCGGTTTCCGATGTGCAGTTTGAATTCGTTGACTTATGGAAACGCAGGTGGCAGCGACATGCAGGCCTTTCACCAAATGATTGGCAGCGGGTCCTGGACTTTTCTGCGGCCTTTCTCCCGAGCAGCTCCTTAACCATTTCAGACATCTCTGTCGATCAATGGCGTGCGGCCGTGCGCCGCTTCAAACCACGTGCAGCACGGGGCCCTGATGGATTTGCAAAACAAGACCTTGCCCACATGACTGATGGTCAGGTCAACAGTCTGTTAGGCTTCCTCCACGCGATTGAACTTGGCAATGCTTCATGGCCGGATTCTTGGCTTCTGGGGCTAGTCCTGAGCCTGGACAAACAGAATGGGCGCACTGATGCCCAGGCCTATCGACCCATTGTTCTGTTTTCAATGATTTATCGCACCTGGGCCGGAATCAGGGCTCGACAACTTCTGAGCTTTGTAGCCTCTCTCCAACAACATGCTGCGTATGGCTTCCTTCCTGGTAGAGAAGCGATGGAATACTGGACTTGCCTCCAAGCGGACATTGAACTCTGCATCCAGTCTGGCACGGCCCTGTTTGGACTAAGCACTGATCTTGTCAAAGCGTTTAACGGTTTGCCGAGAATTCCTCTATTTGGGATGGCTTCTGTTATGGGAGTTCCTGATCGGCTCTTAACGCCTTGGCAAGGGTTCCTTCAACAGATGGAGCGACGATTTGTGGTTCGGCATTGCGTCAGCGCCCCAATCAGATCTGACGTAGGCTTTGCGGAAGGATGTCCGCTGTCACCTGTGGCCATGGCCATTATGGACACGGCTTGGCATGTCTATCTGAGTGTGTTTGAGCCGCGAGTATGTTCTCACTCGTTTGTCGACAACCTAGCAGTAACGGCTTTTGGCATCCTTGAATTAGCTAGAGGTTGGACATTAACCCAGTCTTTTTGTGATATGCTGGGCCTCGAGCTTGACGAGGAAAAGACTTACGTATGGGCCACCACTCCGCAGGCTCGTAAAGCCGTGCGAGCGCTACAGCTTCCTATCAGACTCGCGGCAAGGGATCTGGGTGGGCTCATGTCGTATGGCCCAAAAGTCCGCACAGCCGAGTTACAGGAGCGCGGCAGGGCGCTAGCACCAGTTTGGAAGAAGCTGTCTCGGTCTTTCAGCCCCGTCTCTTTGAAGTTGGCCATTCTTCCGATCAAATGCTGGGCTAGAGCGTTGCATGGCTCATTGGGTTGTCCCGGGGGTGAGGAAGTTTTGCAACGCCTTCGCAGTGCAGCCACGCAATCATTAAAGATACACCCGGCCGGATCCAGCTCCATGTTGCGATTGTCCTTGAGCGGCCATCTTGATGCTGACCCTGGCTACTATCAGGCACGTCGCACCTTGCTGGACTTCCGCAGAATGTGTCATAAGCAACCACGGCTTGTGGACCAGTGGCGTATGTTCCACTACCAATTCGATGGTCACTACCATCAGGGTCCCTTCTCGAAGCTTGTTCAAGTCTTCTCCTTGCTGGGGTGGAGTTTGGCCCAGGTCCCCTACTTCTCGGACGAAGAAGGCCTTCGGCATGATCTTCTTGGTATGCCTTCCAACCTCTTGGTGAGGATCCTTGACAGGTCATGGCTGGCACATGTGGCTCATTGCCACCGTCATCGGCAAACAATGCGGGACCTGAGCGGCATTGAACCAGCTTTGGCTCTCTTGGACCACGACAGGCTCAGTGCTATTGATCAGAGCCGTGTCGGAGCCATTCAATCAGGAGCATTCTTATGTGCAGACTCGCACAGCCGTTTTGACAAGAGCCAGTCCGGACTCTGCCCTCAATGTGCTGTTGCTGATACAGTGCATCACCGCCTTGTTGAGTGTCCCCGCTTTCAGGTCGCTCGTTCGCGGGCTTCATGGGTCGTCGACTTATGGCCAGTTCTTCCTGTTTGTTTGACGAACCACCTGCTGCCACCTGCATGCCCTGTGCTACGTGCACTGCGGTCCCGATTACATGGCATGCACCAATCACTGCATTTTCAGAACGTGCACTTCGAGGCAAGTCAAATTCAGCATCTGTTTACGGACGGATCCTGTTTGTTCACTGAAACTCCTGATTATGCTTTGGCGGCATGGGCAGTGATCCATGCCAACAGTGACGCGGTTCTGGCTTCGGAACATCTTGGAGGCCTTTTGCAAACTATTCCTCGCGCGGAACTCACTGCGATACTGGTGGCCATTCGATGGACGATCCAGTCCAAGACAACAGCAGTAATCTGGAGCGATGCGCAGTATATTGTGGACGGAGTCTTGGCTCTGCAAGCTGGCGGGTCAATTGACCCAAGTTCGGACAACTCGGACCTCTGGCGTCAAGTAGCGGACCTGTTGGCCCTGACATACCCAGGCCAAATTTTTCTACGTCATGTGCCGTCGCACCTGGATCCACGGCTCTGTGAGGATGGTTTTGAGGAGTGGATTGCCAGGTTCAATAGTAGAGCTGACACAATGGCGGTTCAATGCAATTTGAACAGAGACTGGGACTTTGCCGAGCTCCATGCTTCTGCTCTTCGTCGATACCATGACACAGCATCGGTGATTCGAGGCCTGAGGACCCTTTTCTTCGAGGTGGCGGAGCTGACGAAGCCGCAGACGAAGAGGCACCTGACCGTTGAAGCCGCCGTGGAGGCTCCACCGGTGCCTTTGTTGACCCTGTTGGATCCAATATCGGAGACACTACCAATCACGTGGAGGGTGCATACGACAAATTGTGGCTACCTTCCCCAGGGTTTCGTTGCTTCGATCTGGGATTTCGTGCTTCAGGAGGACTCGTCGGGCAACGACTTTTTCGAAGTCTCATGCTTGGAGTTGGTGGCATCGCTTAGTCTGCACGGGGATTTTACATATCCGGCTATTTGCCCTTCGACAGGTCGATGGGTTGATGCTTCTCGGGTTGTTTTTCGACCTGCGCGGCCGACCTTATCTGTACAGTTACGCTTGGTCAGGAGCGCAGTCTGGTTGATGTTGAGATGGGCCACCCTCCAGTCTCATTGGTGCGTTGATTTAGATAGGGTTTCTTTAGGGGTGTTCCGTCCCCTTGATGGGATTGTTTTGAGATGTTGCACCGAGAGACTGATGGAGGCTCGGCTCCTCATTCAGTCGTTTACCGCTTCGCGCCCAATACGGGTGTCAGCGGATCTCGCCAGACCTTTTGGCTGATTCGGACCCTGGCATGCCGCACTGCTCTCGCCGTGCGTGTGCCTCAGAACTCGTGTGATAAGGGTGCCGTAATATTTTCTGGGGACTTAAAAACAAATCCTAATTTCGAAAACTACTGTATAGTCCCGGGTGGTGCTAAACTTTACCCCTGGACCCCGAAGCCTGTAAGCCCTAAACCCGGACACTAAAGCCCGAAGCCCTGAATCCTACACCCTTTCCAGGACTTCAGGTTGCACGGCTTCGAGTCAAAAGGGCTTATTTGAGCTTCAGTGCCAATATCATGAGGTTCGAGGGCCTGTGCCTCCAGAGTCGGAGTCTTGTATCGTGCTGACCTCGACTGAAACAGTAGTGCGGCAGAAAGAGCTTCCTCTGGACTTCCTGACTCAACCGCGGCACCCTAAACAGGAGCCTTGATAGTAGTTAGCCAGTGTAACTTGTCAGAAACGAGACCGCCCCCTTATTGAGGTAGAATGTGAAATACAGGGGTCGTCGTCGTGGTCGTCGTACCTGTCGTAGCGGCAGTTGTGTGTGGTGCTAGGCATGGGGCTATGGGAATTATATGGTATATTCCTATTATGGGTAATGCAGGATTATATCATCAACCGTAGGAGTAGTAAAACAAGGAGTCAGCTGCGGCAGTGGCCTTAGCACTACCAGTAGCAACAGCAGCAGTAGCAGCAACAGTGGCAGCAAGAGCAGTCGTAGTAGCAGTAGCAATGACAGCAGCAGTGGCAGGAGGAGTAGTAGTTGATACAGTAGTAGTTGCATCACAGTAATTATTCGCAACTGCACCTAGAAATGAGTATACCCACATCACTCATAGTACCAATGCGGAGCAGAGCTCGGCCCCACCGATTGCCTTTGAAGCCAAGATCTCCAATCATGTTGGTATGGCTAGCACCAAGAGGTGTCGCAAGATCCGAACTGATGGTGCGGTTGCAAGGTGCTGTTAATTCTGAACTACACATGATGATTATAACATTCGTAAGATTCTGATTAGCAGTATGGACACTGACAACAACTTAATGCAGAAATCTAACGTATGTTTTGTTATGACGGAGTATGACGTTTGGTGAGGCAAGGCCTGTCTCGTTCACTTCGAGGACCTGTGTGCAGCCGATCGCGGTGAGGTCGGGTACGAGAGGATCAAAAAGGGGCCTTAATACTTAGAATAGGGTTTTGGGGTTCCTTAAAAGGGATCTATAAGGGCTACTAGGGCTAATATAAGGATTTGAATATAGGGGCCTCAATGCTTAGAAAAGGGTTTTGGGGCCCACCATACTAGAATTATATTAAGGAACCCCCAAAATAGTATTGGTAGTTAGTTTGGCACAAGTGTTAGAACTCCGACACCCCCTCGTACTCCGATGCCTAAACCCCTATAACCTGATCCCTGAAGCCGGCGCGTGCTTTGGTAACCCACAGCCCCCTCCCCCCTTCCCCCACACGCACAATCACACTCTCGGTGTGTGTTCTTTCCTCGCTCAGAAGGGATGCTCGGCACGATGGGCAGAGACCCGGGATACATCAGCTGTTATGACAAGCCCTGGTCGCATGTTGGACAAAGCAGCGCAGGGCTTCACATCGTTTTTTTAAGTGCTCACCTCAAGAGATCGCAGCGTCGATAGCACACAACGGAGCAGAATTCAGATATCTGTGTCACATCAAGACCTCGGATGAATGCAATCGTCCAGCCTTTGACTGTTCATCAACTGTGCGATGACAGTAACAGTGCAGTGGCAGCATCGCGTTACAGGCTCACCTGCATCCCGGCCCTCGGCAAATGAATTGAGCTGCTAATCAACCCTCTAGAGAGCAACTCAGCCGGAAGGCATCAAGCCCAGATGACTCAGCTTCCCCGGCAACAGGCTGACTTCGCAGCGCTTGCGGAGCGCTTCCGCACGGTGCTGCTGGCTGGGGTGCCCAGGTGCGCCCGCCACTCGCGCTGTTGCCATGCCTCCCGGCTTTGCAAGCCACATGCGATGGTGGATCTCAGCCGAGCCCTCCTCGTCCTGCAGTGGACGTCACATGCAAGGCTCAGGTTGCAGTTTGCTCCAGCATATGTATGTATATGTGTATATATATATGTATATATATGTATATGTATATGTACACATATTACATATTTATGTAAATATACATATCCATCCATGACGAGGCCTCCTGGGCTTGCAATCAATGCTATAGGCTCAAGAATCTGTTGAATCCAAACCTGCCTTAGGAAGCTCTGTCTGGTTCTTAGTAGAGAATAGGGGTTCCTTTAAGGGTTACTATAAGGGTTCCATAAGGGGTCTTAGGGTATCTATAGTCCCTGTCTGGTTCTTTGTAGAGAATGGGGAATGGATCCCTATAATAGTAGTCCCTAGACAATCCCCAATGCTAGTCCCCATAACCCGTTCCCCCATTCTCTACTAAGAACCCGAACCCCTGTAGTATAGCCCTTATAGTAGCCCTTAAAGGCACCCGTAAAGTTCCCTACTAAGAACCACTGTGATGAAAGCGCCGTACCCTGCAGCGGCGCGAATCGACGAGTAGCATGTGGTTGTGCTGTGTAAGTCTGGGTTCCAAACTTTCATACTACGGGGTTTTAAAATCAAACATGAATGTAAACACAGATAGATATAGATATACATGTAGATTTAGATAAAGAAGCACAGATACAGATATAAGCCAGATAAGTGTATCAAGACATAGACATAGCCATGGACAACGACATATGCACGTATTTACACATACAGACATAAACACACCAGCACGCCTGTGATTTAGGACATGACATCCCCAAAACTTGTTTGCCCGGGCACCTACTTGTTCAGTAACTTAGGTATGGCTCAGGGTCAAGTATAGGGGCCTTACTAATTACCTGTACTATCTTGGGGTTCCTTGTTATGATATTTATAGTATACCGGTCCCCAAAACCCTATTCTAACTGTGATGATGATGTCTCAGCATGCGGTAGCGGCAGCATCCGGTCCGAGAGCTTCGTGCAAGTCTGGAGGTCTTTGAAGTTCAGTGCTCCGCGAATCCCGACTAACCCTTTCAGGCTTGTTCCGGTGTAAGATTCTGTACATTGTAATATGTTTTTTGCATCGATGTAAAGAAAACATTGCAATGTACAGAATTCCAGTCAGAGAGTGTCCGAGAAGCTCTGATGATGGGACGTCTTTGCCGGCTCTCGGGGCTGTTCGAAACCTCCCAGAGACTCCAATATCCTTTAATTAAGGAATATCCCGTAAATTTGTGTAGGATCCCTAATATACTTTAAGGTATATTCCTCAATTAAGGGATCTGGGCTTGCCATTCCCTGTCAAGCCGCTTTTTTCTTTGTCACAAGCTTGAGGGCTGGGCAGTTGCTGCGGCGAATCATCCGATGGCCGAGATTGTTGGAGATGCTTCGACCATGCAGCAACCATGACGGGTCGAAACATTTCGTTCGAACACAATTGTATCTGTTAAGGCCCTTATAGATTTTAGGGGACTACCTGAAGTGTGGCTCGGTGAAAGGCCAGCATCCAGGAATGACGGAAGCATCATGTAATGCAAGACTGAGCAGTGGAACCCAAAAATTGCACAGGAAGCCTCCAATCTCCGAAAGGGACCTCTATTCCTGGAGAAGCTGGTACAAGTTTATCGCCATGGTCCGGTCATTGCCAGTCCTGGCGCCAGGCAGGGCGGCCGGGCAGGGGGGTCCTACCGTAGCGGTTGCTAGCGGCTAGCATGGGCTTGAGTGCGAGAGCGCGCCAGCTACATCTGCCATCTGTCTCAGTCCGTCAGGTTGTGTGCATCAGTATGCGGCAAAAGTGTTCCCAAGCAGTGATGACTTTGCAGTGCCCTTTCTCTGACTTGCTCGGCTCCAGCGCCGAGGCGTCAGATTCTTCAGCACACTGTCGGTGTAGATCGAATTGTAGATTTGGGATGGCCGGTCTTTGGAAGCACATCTCCAACGTGGCCAGTTGGGCTTGCGAGCCGTCTCGTTCCGAGGCCTTCAACGATGAGGTCCTGCAGCTGAAGGCTGTTTTAGAAGAGACCCGCCTCCGCCTGCACCATGAGGAGCGGGTCAATCAAGAATTGAAGGCGCAGATCAAGGAGGAGCAGAGGCGAGGACACATGCGGCAGCGCGAGCTGCGAGAGCAGCTCGAGCTGCAGCATGAGGAGATTCAGAGGCTCCTGTCGGAACTCGAAACGGCCAAGGCGGCGGCGTCGGGCGAGAACAAGGCGGAGCTGCATGAACTTGGGCAGAAGAGCGATGCGGAGTCGCACAGTCGTGAAGCAAAGGCGCGGGCATCCGAGACGGAGCTCTTGGCAGCTCTGCTGGAGCATGCCACGAAGCAGGCGACTGCCTGCGCCGCAAAGGTGGCGGAAGAATCGACGGTCGTGCAGCAACTCCGCGAGGAGCTGGAAGCGGCTCGAGGCAAAGCCTCCGAGGAGCAGGAAGCTGCGCAGGCGTTGCGGCAGGAGTTGCAGCAAGAGAAGGCTGCAAGGGTTGAAATGGAGGGGTTCCTAATCCACCGCAGGGCCTGCGAAGCCGATGTTGCGAATTTTCTGCGGCTGCTGGGGCAAAGATACCCCGAACTTGCAGGCAGCTTTAAATTTCTTCTTGTTCAGAGCATTGGCAGGCGCGTTATTAGTCGCAAGGCCTCTCTTAAATCTTAATCCAATAAGCATTTGAATTCGTTGCAGGCCTCTCCGTCGCAAACTCTCTGGTGGAATATTTGAGAGCTTGCTTGTTCGCAGCATTGGTAGGCGCGTTATCAGTCTGAAGGCCTGCCCCCGAGCCGCAGCAATTGAACGAATTGCAGCGGGCGTGTTGCGTGAAAGGGTTTCACTACCGCAAAGGCTTCGCAACGCGAAGTTGGACGAATGTCTGCAATAGTCCGCACAAACCCATCTTGGCATTGCAAGGGATCTTGCATCAACATGTACAGACCCACCTAAAAGTGGACGTTTGTGACATTCGTCGAAAGCTCTTTGAGGATCTTTGAGGAAACCTGAGCAGCATCTGTTGATGCCCCAAGTTGTGCCTTGCTCCGACCAGCCTTGCATCCAAACACATGCGCGGAATGTGTGATAACTCCTCTTACTCTGTTACTCTCACCATGGGGTGGTGCGCGGAAGGGCAGCAATGTCATGGAGGGTTTCAGGTGCAATTATGGCAGCTATGTTTTACGTAAAGCAGTAGCAGACTGCAGCAAATCAATCAAACCTTTCAGCTTGAAGTTGCAGATGTTCTGCGACTGCTGGGGCAAAGATACCCCGAACTTGCATGCAGCTTTATTCCGGTAAGCAGCTGAATTCGCTGCAGGGTCTCTCCAAGCTCATGTCGCAAACTCTTTGGTGCAGTATTTACGAGCTTTCTTGTTCTCAGCATTGGCAGGCACGTTATCAGTCGGAAGGGTTGCGCCCGAGCGGCAGCAATTGAAAGAATTTCAGCGGGAATCGTGTGTGAAAGAGTTTCACTACCGCAAAGGCTTCGCAAGGCGAAGTTGGACGAATGTCTGCAATAGTCGGCACAAACCCATCTTGGCATTGCACGGGATCTTGCACCAACATGTACAGATCCACCTAAAAGTGGAAGTTGTTGACATTCGTCGAAAGCTCTTTGAGGATCTTTGAGGAAACTTCAGCAGCATCCGTTGATGCTCCACTTTGTGCCTTGCACCGTCCATCCTTGCATCCAAACACATGCGCGGAACATGTGATAACTCCTCTTACTCTGACCATGGGTTGGCACGTTGATATCCGGAAGAGCAGCGCAAGTCTGCCACAGGTAGCCTTTTTTACGGAGGGTTTGAGGGTGTCAGGTGTAATTATGGCAGCTATGTTTTACATAAAGCAGCAGCAAGCATCCATGTTTAGGAACACCTTGTGGTATAGGAGCATAAATGCCTAGCTTAGCCGCGTTTCATTCGGAAGGAACTATATATACCACACCCAGACCCGTATCTCCGGGTTTCGGCGTCTACATTGTCTAGAGTCGAGCCCGCAGCGTCCACGCCGAAGCACAAAGCTTGTCAGAGTAATGGTTCAGTTCTACGGCTTGACACAGGATACCCAGACCGGTTTAGCCATGAGGCGAGTCTGTGCGTCTTTCTTGTGAGAAGCTGCTTTTTGTGTACGGGATCTACCAATAAGGGTCTTGACAAAGCGCCGGTATGATCCTTGCAAGAAGCCGACGTATCCTAAGCCCTCCTAAAGCCGGTTAACCCTCCTGTAGACCCTGAGGGTTCCAGCGCTGAAGGTTTCATGTGGCCCAAACCATCGGAGCAATGTTTTCTTGAGCACCTTCTCCCTTGCTGTAACAGAACCGAGAAGCCGTGCTTCGCGTCCGGCAGGTGTTGAGAACAGGCTTAAGAGTATAATCTAGTCCGATAGTAGTATTAGTAATAGTAGCAACAGAAATAGTACGTAGTAGTCTTAGTAATAGTAACAATGATACAATTCGTGGCTCTTTGTGATAAGCAAGGAAGAGTGGGCTGTAGCACCGTACATGAAAGCACGCAGGAGGATGTAAAGGTGATCTATTTAGGGTTCTACGGTGTCTCGAATTGCATGCAGCTGTTCAGTTTGCAAGATCCACAAGTTTTCCTGCTTTCCATTGCTATTGGACCCTAAACCATGTCGAGGCCATAGCGCGTTCACTGCAGGATGACGGTTATACTCGCTTTAGGCTGTTCGCCTGCCAGGTGCAACTCGACTACTCTTCGATCCACGAAAACAGGCCGAGCACAAGGCCAGTATAACTTAGATCCCGTCAGGGGGTTCCTCTTCGGACTATATAAATCGGGTACAAGTAGCGGAATTGGGCTCGAAATTCGGTAATTTGCTTTTTTTGTTAGGTCAGGGGCTCCGTGGAGGGACGAGTGTACAGGCTCTTCAGACCGTCAAGTTCCAAGTGACCGCCCCAAAACCACCAAACCGATCCAAAACCGTAAACCCCTGAACCCTAAACCCGAAAGCCCTAAACCCTAAACACCTACACCCTGAACCCTTAAACCCGCAATTTCGGGGCGACCCCAAGGCCCCAAGCCTCGCGGAATTGATCCTTACTGGAGATCTCCATGTTCTGTACATAGTTCAGGGGTTTGGGGGTTTAGGGCTTTTAGGGTTTAGGGGTTTTAGGCGTTTAGGGTTTTTAGGCGCTTGGGGTTTATTGGCGTTTAGGGTTTAGGCGGTTTAGGGTTCGGGTTTAGGTTTCGGCGAGATTCAAGGAAAAAAGTCTTGGCACTCATGCATGCCCACCGCTACTTCCAGGAGTTAGGGGTTTAGGGTTTAGTTGCCCTGCGGCCTAGGAGGATGAAGCCCCCTGATAGAATCGCGATAAGAACCTCGCCAGGGTACGGCTGCGACAGCCTCCCCACAAGATGCAGACTTTTGGCGGCTATGCTGCAAGATTTCCAGGGTTTCACTGGTCTTTGAGCTTGAGGGCTTTGTAATTGTAATAAGGAGCCACCAAAATAGTGTAGGTAATTTCTCGACTAGCTATAATAAGGGCCTAAACAGTTACCCATACCATTTTTGGGAGTTCCCATTATAATTACAGTGTAGTGGGCCCCAAAACCTTATTCTAATTATGAAGGCCCCTTTTGAAGTTTCTGATGTTGACCGTTTAGGGGCAAGGTTGTGGGATGGCAAACTCAAGCCGTTGTCCTTGTAGTACAGTAGGCTTACATGGTGATGTCATAGCCACCACGATGAACATTAGAAACTAGCGCTTCGCAGGGTCCAAAATGGCAGCAGCGGTGAGGGTCCAGCGGCTTGATTGATGTGGCTGAAGACGTCCGCAGTTCAAAGGGTAGGAGAGACGTTCTGCGAGGTTTGTGGTCTCGGGCGAGGTGAGTTTGGGCGGCCGAAACGTCTTTAGTCACAGTCTTGAGGATCGCTGCTACCGCGAATAGTAGCAGTCGTCGTCAGCAACACCCGAAAGAAGCACAACAAACCACACCGCAACTACTAAGGCGGACCCTGCATCCAGGTCTGAGACGGGAGACATCTCGAAAAGGAGTCGCCGATACCTCAGCATGCTACGTCGAGGGTTTAGGATTCAGGGTTTTCGGGTCAGGGTTTAGAGTTTACCGCGTTCTGACGTAAAAGCCCCTGACCCTACTCTAAAGCCTAAACCCCATGAGACTTTCCCACTCGGGCCTGTCAGGAGCAGGTGCACAGAAAGCCCCGTAGAAAGGCCTTGCCGAGCCCATACCCAGGACCCTTAAGGATCATGTAGGCTTAGGGAGTTCGGTTCTTTTGGGTGTAGCTCTTGGCAATCGGGTTCGAGGTCTTTGTCCCAGACGTTGCAGATTGCTCTACTTCCAGGCCTTCGAGATCGCCAAGTCCTGAAGAAATTCAAGACGACGCATCCGAGCTGAGTGAGGACAGGGTTTATGGCGCAGAGGTTCAGTGCCCACGGTTGAGGCTGTTTGAGTATGGGATTTCAGTTTAGTTCAGCGCTGGGGACCCGGAGAGTTGTATTGAGCCTTGCGTGGAGGTGACATCTGAACAGACATCACCAGTATCACTGGCAGACGGCTGAAGAGTGCTACAGCTGTGACGATCACGGATAAAGCGTGATTTCTAGATCCCACACTCTCCCAAGCACGTCAGCCCTCTGAGCAAAGCAGCGCCCGCTTCGAACGCCTCAAGACACTTATATACATAGTGATACTACGGTCCTTTTTTGCTGAAGCTGTTGTTGTTGCTTCTTGCTCTCACTCGTACTGCTGCGACTGCGATTTTGACGGTGATGATGATGATGATGATGATGATGATGATGATGATGATGTAATCACTGCAATCATCGTAGCTAGCTGTCATTGTCATTGTCGCCGTCGTTATTGTGGCTGTCATTACGGTTACGCTGGTCTACCAGCGTAGACTTCGAGAAGGCAACCAGGCGTCCGACTGCACGGAAGGTCGGCCTCGACGAGGGACCATCGTCCACCGTCGCACCCTTGCTTGAGACGTGCCTGAGCAAACTACGCCACTCGTTTTGAGAATCAACTGCTTCCAAGTTGGATAGAGGCGCACCCGTTTGTCACAGACAATGCATATATAGTCTTGCATGAAACAAACGCAAAGAGGAGTTTCTGCTGTCTAGGCTTCGCAGCTTTGCTTGGGCTGACAGACTTGGCGCTCCACCCTGGCTTGCGACTGCGGGCGGAGCCCTAAGTCTGTCATCCTTGCAAGGAGTCGAAAGCCATTGGCCATCAAAGAGAAGCGACAGCGGTGCTGTGTCCAGGGGACTGAAGGGCAAGGAAACGAAGACCAGCTTGTATGAACTAGAGAATGAGGGAAAGAGCTCGTTGGAGTACTGCTGAGCTGGTCAATCCGCGGAGCCTGGTGACCTTGCATCAACACTTCCGGTTCCGCCCGCCACTGGAGGCCTCTGCAAGGAAGCACGACCAGAACTCGTCTTTATGGATTGTTTTGTGCATTCGGAGCGCTTATCTCGCGATTTTGTAAGCACTTCTTAAGTTTTGGGCGCACTTCCTACATCCACACCCCCAGTCTTGATGCTGCAAGGCATTTTGAAGCAAGGCCACGAACACTAAATTTCACTAAATCCTCTTATCCGTGGCCCTCACCTCCCGAATACAGAAAAACTAAAATCATTAGCAATATTATCCCACAGGGTTTCTTATTATTAATATCATGATATGCCTCAAGACACGATTCTACTTGTAAAAGCCTACATTATGTACCCCCAGCGAACCTTGCACGAGCCACAGGATTTCTTGCGCGGGCTCTGCCAGGGAGCAGACTTGGTGGAGGATGCGGAGGCTCTCGGGTTTATGCGCCTGTAACTGTTTGGTACCTTTGTGAGCGCTTTCATTCTACTGTTTAGAGGTTGGGAGTCTGTTATTATGGTTTAGGGACGAGCTATCAGCGGATTCAAGTCTGCACGCGTTTCGTTTGTATATCTCAGCTAAGGATGGCTTGAACAGGATTTTGGCACATTTTGAAGGGGGTTGAATTTGGCTCTTCGGCAGGCTCAATCCCCGTGTCTGTGGCACTGTGTCCTCCTCCCGCCCTCTTTTCCTTTTCCTTCCCTGACTGATTGAGAGAGCCAGTGAGTCGCTGATCCACTGAGTCAGTGAGTGAGAGTCTGTACGCGTGTGTGCGGTTGGTTGGTTGGTTGGCCGGCTGGCTGGCGGCTGGCTGGCGGCTGGCTGGGTGGGTGGTTGGTTGGTTGGTGCTGAGTGGGGCGTGTCAGTCCGTCAGGATTGTGTGCAGCGGTATGCAATGCGCAGCAACGTGTTCCCAAGCAGAGCTGAGTTTGCAGTGCCCTTTCCGAATCGCTCGGCTCCGGCGCAGAGGCATCAGATTCTTCAACACACTGTCGGTGTAGATTGATTCGTAGATTCGGGATCCCGAATCTACGAATCAATCTACACCGACAGTGGCCGCTCTCTGGAAGCACAGCACCAATGTGGACAGTTGGGCTTGCGAGCCGTCTCCTTCCGACGCCTTTAACGATGAGGTCCATGCAGCTTCAGGCTGCGCTGGATGAGAGACCCGCCTCTGCCTCCATCATGAGGAGCGAGTCTCTCAAGAGTTGAAGGTGCAAGTCAGCGCCGCCTTGACCATCTCGAGTTCCGACTGGAGTCTCTTGATCTCCTCGTGTTCTCTCGCATCTCGCGCTGCCGCATCTCTCCTCGCCTCTGCTCCAGGTCCAGAGGCGAGGAGAGATGCGGCAGCGCGAGCTGCGAGAGCAGCTCGAGCTGCAGCATGAGGAGATTCAGAGGCTCCTGTCGGAACTCGAGATGGTCAAGGCGGCGTCGTCGGGCGAGAACAAGGCGGAGCTCCATGAACTTGGGCAGAAGAGCGATGCGGAGTCGCATGAGACGCACAGTCGTGAAGCAAAGGCGCGGGCATCCGAGACGGAGCTCATGGCGGCTCTGCTGGAGCATGCCACGAAGCAGGCGACTGCCTGCGCCGCAAAGGTGACGGAAGAATCGACGGTCCTGCAGCAACTCCGCGAGGAGCTGGAGGCGGCTCGAGACAAAGCCTCCGAGGAGCAGGAAGCTGCAGAGGGAGAGGGGTTGCGGCACCAGGTGCAGCAAGAAAACGCCTCGAGATTCGAAGTGGAGCAGTTGCTTGAGTGAAGTAGCTGCTCAATTTCAAACCTTGAGGCCATTTCTTGCCGTGACCTGCAACGAGAATCTCTTAATAAGGGACTCTCGTTGCAGGTCAAGAAGTTGCAGCAAGAAAAGGCCATTATGAGGGACTTTCACCAACGCAAGGCCTGTGAAGACGAAGTTGCGGATTTTCTGCGGTTGCTGCGGCAAGGATAGCCCGAACTTTCAGGCAGCATGAATCCAATCAGCTGTTGAATTCGCTGCAGGCCTCGCCAAGTGGTGGGCGCATCGTCATCCGGAAGGCCAGCACCGAAATGCAGAACTTGAACTTAAAATGCTGCAGCTCGGTGCTGGCCTTCCGGATGATGATGCGCTCACCAATTTGAACGAGTTGCTGCGGCCGTCTTGTGTGAAAGAGTTTCACTGCCGCAAAGGCTTCGCAAGCCGAAGCTGGACGAATGTCTGCAACAGTCAGCAGAAACACATCTTTGCATTGCGCGGGATCATGCATCAACATGCATATAGATCCACTCTACGAGTTGAAGTTGTTGACATTCGTCGAAGGCGACGCTTTGGCTTCCATGAGAGAGCTTGAGCAGCATCCGTTGATGCCCTACTTTGAGTGTTGCATTGTGCGTTCGAAAAACCCTTCTCGAGGTCTTGCTGCTGAAGATTGTCCATCCTTGCATCGAAAGACCCGTGTGAAACACTTGATAACTGATGCCTCTCTTACTCCCACAATTGGTTGGCGCATAATTCTCCGGAAGAGCCGCACCATGCTACCACAGTGCTGACAGCGGCAATGTTATGGAGCCACATTACGACTTACGCTTGTGGACCCCGGGACAATTACACCTGCAACAGTCTCGTTAAATGGAACAAACCCTGCACACTGTCAAAGGAAACGCATGCTACGTCTAAATTCTCGGCAAAAATAACGGCCTCAATGATTCGTAGGAGTATCTGTCAGGGATCTCTGATCGTGTTTTTTGGTTCCCACACCCGTGCACCCAGTCTCGTGACCTCAGCTTCTACATTTCTGGGGTCAAGCCTGATATCCAGAGCGGTTCAGTCATGAGGTCAGCGTGCGCATTTTTTGCGTGAGTCGGTGCATCTAGTCTTGAGCGTACTCGAGATCTGAAAATGCACGGACAAAACGGGAATCGAAAGGGTTCTGGTGACATGCAAGCTGCAAAATTGCCTTGAACGTTCAGGGAAGCTTGTTCTACTGGAGGGCTATGGAGTTGAAGTTCAGGTGCACAAGACCCTCGGAGCAAGATGTTCTTGAGCCTCTTCTCTTTGTTCCGCAGCAGGCTGCTTCCAAAGGGCTCCGCGGGAACTGAGAGGCCGCTCCAGAAAAGCCTCAAGAGCATAGGGGTTTAGGGGTTAGGGGTTTAGGGTTTAGGGTTTAGGGGTTTAGGGTTTAGCGGTTTAGGGGTTCAGGGTTTAGGGGTTTAGGGTTTAGCGTTTAGGGGGTTGTGGCTCTGTGCGACAAGAAAGGAAGGACATTTAAGCACCAGACATGGAAGCAGTAACGGGGGGTCAGCTGTAGTGCTGTCCGTGATCTGCATACAAGGCCCTGAGATGTATGATAATTAATCTCCTTGTGGTTCCACTGGAGTATGTAAGTCCCGAATTGCCCACCCCAAAACCCTATAAACCTTAAACCCTATAAACCCGAAGCCCTCATGTTCAGTGCGCGCGGAATTATGATCAGGAGCAGTCCCGAAGATGCCGGGACTGAAAGCCTTCCACCTTCGACGATCAGGAGCGGCAGTTGATGAATCTCCAAAATTCCAAGCTCGAAGCCCAAACAAGCCTGCAGTTTAATGACGATACAACTCCTAAACGAGCCCTGAACGTCGATGTCTTGCGCCCATTACAGCTGCTGTAGTAGGATTCGTTGGCTGTGCGTCTGCCAGGCGCCGCTTGTTTCCTGCATCCATACGCAGTACACAGAGCACAAGGCCGTTGCAGCAGGACTTGCGGCAGCACGAGCAGGAGCAGCAGCAGCAGTAATTTGTCGTGGTGAGTGGTGGTGGTCGTGGTGGTGGTGGTGGTGGTGGTGGTGGTGGTGGTGGCGGCGGTGGTGGGGTGGCGGTAGCGGTAGCCGTAGCGGTAGCGGTAGTGTCATAGCTAAAAAAGCCTTTGTCGTGATGGTTGGCCTGCCAGGTCCTGACACCGAGGTTCCGGGTTTTTCAGCAGAGCCCCTTCTTGCTTGTTTGCCAGGCAGCTTCCCACAGCGGCTGCATATGAAGCAGACAGGAGAAACAAGTGCTGCTTCTGCAACTTTGATTACGTAAACGGGCTTCAAACAGGCGGAATGCAAGTCCTGCGTTCACAGGAGCTTGTATACTCAGCCCTGAGCACGGACAGGTGTCTTGTTGCACTCCTGTGGTGTTCCTGCCGCGCTTCATTAAATGGACGAGATTGTTCGAAATGCTTGGGCCATGCAGAAACACGAAATTTCACAGTGAATTCGAACCGTTAGCAATGAATAATGTCTCCATAAAGTCTTAGTGAACTCCTTCAACAGACATGAACAAACTATAAGTACTGTATTGCTTTCTATCAGTTTCTCAGTTCCTATCTACAAATATACATACACATCTGGATATATATGTATATACACATACAGACATACATACATACATACATACATGAACAAATCCATAAGTACATAATTTTATAGAAAAACTTGTTTTATATTTATTTTCGTGTCTACACCTAGAGTATAGAGTCAGGTTTATGCTTATGTGTGCGTTTGTACTAATTTTTACATGCGAGACGACCTCAAGTGTGGCTCGGTGCCAGGGCCACTGCATCAGGCAATGACAGAAGGATAACTCAATGCAAAATTCAGCAATGGATCCCAGAACCACAGAAGGAGTGATCGTTAGAGATCTATCGCCATGGCTCGGTCATGGCGAGTCCCGTCGCCAGGCACGGTAGCTGTGTTCGCCATCTGTCTCAGTCCGTCAGATTGTGTGCATCAGTATGCAGCAAAAGTGTTCCCAAGCAGTGATGACTTTGCAGCGCCCTTTTTCTGACTTGCTCGGCTCCAGCGCCGAGGCGTCAGATTCCTCAGCACACTGTCGGTGTAGATTCGTAGATTCGGGATGGCCGGTCTTTGGAAGCACATCTCCAACGTGGCCACTTGGGCTTGCGAGCCGTCTCGTTCCGAGGCCTTCAACGATGAGGTCATGCAGCTGAAGGCTGTTTTAGACGAGACCCGCCTCCGCCTGCACCATGAGGAGCGGGTCAATCAAGAATTGAAGGCGCAGATCAAGGAGGAGCAGAGGCGAGGACACATGCGGCAGCGCGAGCTGCGAGAGCAGCTCGAGCTGCAGCATGAGGAGATTCAGAGGCTCCTGTCGGAACTCGAAACGGCCAAGGCGGCGGCGTCGGGCGAGAACAAGGCGGAGCTGCATGAACTTGGGCAGAAGAGCGATGCGGAGTCGCACAGTCGTGAAGCAAAGGCGCGGGCATCCGAGACGGAGCTCTTGGCAGCTCTGCTGGAGCATGCCACGAAGCAGGCGACTGCCTGCGCCGCAAAGGTGGCGGAAGAATCGACGGTCGTGCAGCAACTCCGCGAGGAGCTAGAAGCGGCTCGAGGCAAAGCCTCCGAGGAGCAGGAAGCTGCGCAGGCGTTGCGGCAGGAGTTGCAGCAAGAGAAGGCTGCAAGGGTTGAAATGGAGGGGTTCCTAATCCACCGCAGGGCCTGCGAAGCCGATGTTGCGAATTTTCTGCGGCTGCTGGGGCAAAGATACCCCGAACTTGCAGGCAGCTTTAAATTTCTTCTTGTTCAGAGCATTGGCAGGCGCGTTATTAGTCGCAAGGCCTCTCTTAAATCTTAATCCAATAAGCATTTGAATTCGCTGCAGGCCTCTCCGTCGCAAACTCTCTGGTGGAATATTTGAGAGCTTGCTTGTTCTCAGCATTGGTAGGCGCGGTATCAGTCTGAAGGCCTGCCCCCGAGCCGCAGCAATTGAACGAATTGCAGCGGGCGTGTTGTGTGAAAGAGTTTCACTACCGCAAAGGCTTCGCAACGCGAAGTTGGACGAATGTCTGCAATAGTCAGCACAAACCCATCTTGGCATTGCACGGGATCTTGCCTCAACATGTACAGATCCACCTGAAAGTGGACGTTTGTGACATTCGTCGAAAGCTCTTTTAGGATCTTTGAGGATACCTGAGCAGCATCTGTTGATGCCCAAGTTGTGCCTTGCGCCGACCATCGTTGCATCCAAACACATGCGCGGAACGTGTGATACTCCTCTTACTCTCTTACTCTCACCATGGGGTGGCGCGCGGAAGGGCAGCAATGTCATGGAGGGTTTCAGGTGCAATTATGGCAGCTATGTTTTGCGTAAAAGCAGTAGCAGACTGCAGCTAATCAATCAAACCTTTCAGCTTGAAGTTGCAGATGTTCTGCGACTGCTGGGGCAAAGATACCCCGAACTTGCATGCAGCTTTAATCCGGTAAGCAGCTGAATTCGCTGCAGGGTCTCTCCAAGCTCATGTCGCAAACTCTTTGGTGTAGTATTTACGAGCTTTCTTGTTCTCAGCATTGGCAGGCACGTTATCAGTCTGAAGGCCTGCCCCCGAGCGGCAGCAATTGAATCAATTGCAGCGGGAGTCTTGTGTGACAGAGTTTCACTACTGCAAAGGCTTCGCAAGGCGAAGTTGGACGAATGTCTGTAATAGTCGGCACAAACCCATCTTGGCATTGCACGGGATCTTGCACCAACATGCACAGATCCACCTAAAAGTGGAAGTTGTTGACATTCGTCGAAAGCTCTTTTAGGATCTTTGAGGAAACTTGAGCAGCATCCGTTGATGCTCCACTTTGTGCCTTGCACCGTCCATCCTTGCATCCAAACACATGCGCGGAACATGTGATAACTCCTCTTACTCTGACCATGGGTTGGCACGTTGATATCCGGAAGAGCAGCGCAAGTCTGCAAGAGGTAGCATTGTTACGGAGGGTTTGAGGGTTTCAGGTGTAATTATGGCAGCTATGTTTTACATAAAGCAGCATACATGTTTGGGAACACCTTGTTTTATAGGAGCATAAATGCCTAGCTCAGCAATATTTCATTTGGAAGGAACTATATATACCACACCCAGACCCGTATCTCCGGGTTTCGGCGTCTACATTGTCTATAGTCAAGCCCGCAGCCTCTACGCAGAAGCACAAAGCTTGTCGGAGTAATGATTCCGTTTTGCGGCTTGGCACAGGATACCCAGACCGGTTTAGCCGTGAGGCGAGTCTGTGCGTGTTTCTTGTGAGAATGTGCTTTTTGTGTACGGGATCTACCAATAAGGGTCTTGACAAAGCGCCGGTATGATCCTTGCAAGAAGCCGACGTATCCTAAGCCCTCCAAAAGCCGGTTAACCCTCCTGTAGACCCTGAGGGTTCCAGCGCTGAAGATTTCATGTGGCCCAAACCATCGGAGCAATGTTTTCTTGAGCACCTTCTCTTTGTTCTGCAACAGGCTACTTCCAACGGCTCCGCGGGAACCGAGAAGCCGTGCTTCGCGTCCGGCAGGTGTTTAGAACAGCCTCAAGAGTAGTACAGTATAATAGTATTAGTAATAGTAACAATGATACAATTCGTGGCCCTCTGCGATAAGCAAGGAAGAGTGGGCTGTAGCACCGTACATGGAAGCACGCAGCAGGATGTAAAGGTGATCTATTTATGGTTCTATGGTGTCTCGAAATGCATGCAGCTGTTCAGTTTGCATGATCCACAAGCTTTCTTGCTTTCCATTGCTATTAGACCCTAAACCATGTCGAGGCCATAGCGCGTTCACTGGAGGATGACGGTTATACTCGCTTTAGGCTGTTCGTCTGCCAGGTGCAACTCGGCTACTCTTCGATCCACGAACACAGGCCGAGCACCAGGCCGGTACAACTTAGATCCCGTCAGGGGGTTCCTCTTCGGACTATATAAATGGGAGTTTCCGAAAATTACGGGTATATACCTTTTTTGGGGGTCCTTATAATAAGGGTCGTACTATATAGGGTAATATATTGGGTCCCCTATTGTCGGAAACCCCCAAATCGGGTAGTGGAATTGGGCTCTAAATTCGGTGATTTGCTTTTTTTGTTAGGTCAGGGGCTCCGTGGAGGGACGAGTGTACAGGCCCTTCAGACCGTCAAATTCCAAGTGAACGCCCCTAAACCACCCAAACCGATCCAAAACCGTCAACCCATGAACCTTAAACCCTAAAGCCCTAAACCCTAAACACCTACACCCTGAACCCTTAAACCCTCAACTCGGGGCACGGTTCCGGGAGAAAAGGCCCTGAACCCTCGACCCCAAGGCCCCAGGCCTCGAGGAATTGATCCTTCTGGCGATCTCGGTGTTCTGTACGGTTTAGGGCTTTTAGGGTTTAGGGGTTTAGGGCCTTGAGGGGTTTAGAGTTTTTAGGGGTTTAGGGCTTTTAGGGGTTTAGGGCTTTTAGGGTTTTCAGGGTTTAGGCGTTTAGGTTTTTAGGCGTTTAGGGTTTAAGGCTCTTGGGGTTTAGGGTTTTAGGCGTTGAGGGTTGAGGGCTTTTGGGGTTTAGGGGTTCAGGGTTTAGGGATTCAGGCGTTTAGGGTTTTGGGCTTTTAGGGTTTAATTAGGGTTTCTATCGTTTAGGGCTTTTTAGGGCTTAGGGCTTTTAGGGTTTAGGGGTTTCAGCGTTTTGGGGTTTTTAGGCGTTTGGGGTTTTTGGCGTTTAGGGTTTAGGCGGTTTAGGGTTCGGGTTTAGGTTTCTCCGAGATTCAAGGGAACAAGTTTTGCCTCTCATCTATGCCCACCCTTACTCCCAGGAGATAGAGGTTTAGGTGCCCTACCGGCCTAGCAGGCCCGAGCCCCCTCATAGAATCGCGAGAAAGAAGCTCTCCCTAGGGCTCCGGCTACCGTAGTTTACTGGCCATACATTATTATGGGAGTTTCCGAAAATAAGGGACCTTAAGATAGTACCCTAAATAGTCGGATCCTTATTCTAAGGACCCTAAACTACGGTACCCCTATCGTTTACTAACCATACAATATGTACCCCCAAGGGTGCATGTGCCCAGATAGTAAAAAGCTCTGGCCCCAATGTACATTTCTAGGGACGACTTAAAGGCAGAAGTATATACTACGGTTGATGATATAAATCCTGCATGACCTTAAGACCCTAAACCATGGGGAATTATGGCATATTCCTAAGTCTGAATAATGCAGGATTTATACCATCAAGAGTATTGGTGTACATGGACCCTTAAGGGACCCCAGTAACCTACTATTTAGGCAACTGGAGCCCTAGGGTCTGGCATCGCCAGGATAAAACCCTAAACCCTAAACCGTAGAAACCCTAAACCCTATAAACCTTCAACCCCTTAGAAAAAAACCCTTTAAACTTTAAACCCTATAAGCCCTAAACCCTATAAACCCTACACCCCGTAAAAGAAACCCTTTAAACCCTATAAGCCCTAAACCCGATAAACCCTAAACCCCTTAAAAACCCTTTAGCCCCTATAAACCCTAAACCTTATAAACCCTGAACCCTAACCCTAAACCCTAATTAAAAGCTTAAAACCCTATAAACCCTAAACCCTAAAACCCTATAAACCCTAAACCCTCAAACCCCCACACACCCTAAATCCTAAACCCTCCCTAACCTGCTATCAGTAATCTTCCTTTTTAGGTAACTGGACCCCTGGGCTCTGGTATCGCCAGGATACGGCTCTTGCAGCCTCCCCGCGAGATGCCGACTTCCCGTGGCTATGCTCGCAAGATCTCTACTCGAGGGGCCTTAGTGAATTGAATAGGGTTCCTTTAAAGGGCTCTATAACGGCTACTCTAAGGGATCTAACAACTAAGAACCGGGTTTTTGGTGGCCCAATATACTATAACAGTTATAAGGAGCCACCAAAATAGTATAGGTAATCTAGGGGGCTAAATAGTTACCTATACACATTTGGGAGTTCCTTGTTATAATTACAGTGCAATGGGCCCCAAAACCTTATTCTAACTATGAAGGCCCTTGGGTTTCGCAGGGCTATGAGTCTGGGGGGGTTTCTCATGTTGAATGTTTAGGGGTAAGGTTGTGGGCTCAAGCCGTTATCCTTGTAGTACAGTAGCTATACATTGTGATGTCATAGCCACCATGATGAACATTGGAGACAGAATGCTTCATAGAGTCCAAAATGGCAGCAGCGGTGAGGGGTCCAGCGGTTTGATTGATGTTGCTGAAGACGGCAGCAGTTCAAAGGGTAGGAGAGACGTTCTGCGAGGTTTGTGGTTTCGGGCAAGGTGAGTTTGGGCGGCCGAAACGTCTTTAGTCACAGTCTTGAGGATCGCTGCTACCGCGAATAGTAGCAGTCGTCGTCAGCAACACCCAAAGAAGAACAACAACAAGGCCGCTACAAAACACCATGGACCCTGCATCCAGGTCTGAGAGGGGAGACATCTCGGAAAGGAGTCGCCGATACCTCAGCATTGTCGAGGGTTTAGGATTCAGGGTTTTCGGGTTAGGGTTTAGAGTTTACGGCGTTCTTTCCATAAACGCCCCTGACCCTACCCTAGAGCCCAAACCCCATGAGACTTTCCCACTCGGGCCTGTCAGGAGCAGGTGCGCAGAAAGCACAGTAGAAAGGCCTTGAGTGAATCTGCCGAGTCCGCAATTTGCACTACCCCTAGACCGCATATACCCCGGACCCTTAAGGATTATGTAGGCTTAGGGAGTTAGGTTCTTTTGGGTGTAGGTCTTGGCAATCAGGTTGGAGGTCTTTGTCCCAGATGTTGCAGATTTCTTGACTCCCAGGCCCTTCGAGATCGCCAAGTCCTGAAGAAGAGATTCCAGACGACGCATCCGAGCTGAGTGAGGACAGGTTTAGGGCGCAGAGGTTCAGTGCCCAGGGTTTAGGATATTCGTCGAAAGTCTATTCTACTTATGTTGGCCTGCATTATGTACCTCCAGCGAACCTCGCCCGAGCCGCAGGATTTCTTGCGCAGGCTCTGCCAGGGAGCTGACTTGGAGGATGTGGAGGCTTTCGGGTTTATGCGCCTTTATCTGTTTGTTGCCTTTTGCACTGCTTTTATTTTATTGTTTACAGGTTGGGAGTCTGTTAGGCTTGCGTGACGAATTGTCAGCGGATTCAAGTCCTTATGAGTTTCGTCTGTATATCTCAGCTAAGGATGGGCTTCATCAGGTTTCTGACATTTCTGAAGGGGATTGAGTATGGTTGTTCGGCAGGCTCAATCCCCGTGTCTGTGGCACTGCGTCCTCCTTCGGCCCTCCCTTCCATCCTTTTCCTTCCCTTATTGATTGATTGATTGACTGATTGGTTGATTGCATGATTGAGTAATTTGGTTGGTTAGCTGACTGACTGATTGAATGATTTGATTGACTGATTGAATGATTCATTGGTTGACTGACTGGGTGAATGACTGACTGAGTGAGGGAGTGAGTGATTGTTTGATTGAGCGATTCATCGGTTCGTCGGATTCATTGATTCACTGATTGATTGATTGATTGATTGGTTGGTTGTTTGACTGACTGATACATTGATTCCTTGAATATTTCATTGACTGTTTCATTGATTGATTCATTACGTAATTGGTTCATTGAATGATTCCTCGATTGTTTCATTCAATGTTTCATTGATTGAAACAATGACTGATTCGTTGATTGGTCGATTGATTGTTTTGATTGATTGATTGAGTGAGTGAGTGAGTGTGTGAGTGAGTCACTCATTCACTCAGTCAGTGTGTAAGAGTGTTTGTGTGTGTGTGTGCACGCTTGCGCGGTTGGTTGGTGGGTGGTTGGTTGGGCGATCGGTCGGTCGGTTGCTTGGTTGGCAGAGTTTGTTTGGGCGGTTTGGTTTTGTTGGTTGCTTGGTTGGTTTGGTTTGTTGGTTGGTCGGTTCATTGATTGACTGCTTGATCGCTTGGCTGATTGACTGAGCAACTTATTGAGTGAGTCAGAGGGAGGTATGTTGGGTGAGTCAGCACGTGCTTGATTGACGGAATGAGTGAGGGAGGGAGGTAGTGAGTGAGTGAGGGTGTAGATGGCAGATGGGAGATTGTGAAAACAGGGGACCCTAATATAGTACCCCAAATAGTAGGATCCTTATTATAAGGACCCAGACATATCCTCAGATGGGCTGGTTGGTTGGTTGATTGATTGTGCCTCTTAACTCTTCGGACTCGTTATTTCTTGCTGAGTTGAGGGTGTGACTGACGAGTTAATCCGTCAACGAGTTGATGGATGCACACTTATTTCTCACACCGCGTATCTCTAAGTATATTTCCCTAAGGGTCCAAGTACCTAATAATCCTATTCTCTCCCAAATAGTAACCTGCAGAATAACCATCCGAAACCTAAGTAACTAATGATTGGGTCCTTTGGACCCTTATATGGGAGTTTCAGAAAATAGGGGACCCTAAGACAGTACCCTTTATAGTAGGATCCTTACTATAAGGACCCCAAATTCAGAACAAGGTGCCCTAATTTTCGGAAACTCCCATCTAGGGATGAGTCAGAGGTCCTGAAGACGCCTCTGCACAGGCCCTCGAGATCCGGGTGGATTCGACAAGGCAGCATCGAAGAGTTTGGAGGATTGACGGTTTAGGGTTTACGGCTAGGGTTTCGAGTTTAGGGCACTGGTTTGGTGACGCGTTTTTATGGTCACTTACAGCTTGAAGCTTTGGGTTCTGGCAGGTGTGCCTCTTGCTTCGCAGCCGACTAGTAAATTACTATAAGTGTTTCTACTGCTACGGCTGATGCTGTCTCCGCTACCACTGCCACGATGATGCGTACGATGATGATGATGATGATGATGATCACGTTTGCTGCTGTGATTCTGATTACTAGTAATGTTATGAAGTTATGATGTTGATGGCGGTGATGCTCATGATGGTGCTACTGACCTGATGGTGGCTTCGATACATCACTCAGGCGCAGATCACGAAAGGACTTGTTCTCTAGACTCGTTTAGAGTGTTCTGACTCAGGGTTTGGTATGGTCAAAGAGGAAGGTCATGATTCGTCGATGTTCACAGGTCGTCGAATGAAGATAATCCAGGGCTGCAGTTAGATAGTTACCCTCAAGAACAACATCGACTCTGAAAAGTAGAATCCCAATCAAAGCCATGCCTTATCAGACACCCCTGCTGCTAAGAAACCCCATATCCCGGTGAGTCCTTTCGTCTCTGAAAATCCTTTTTGTTATGCTCAGGCACCGGCTGCAGCCATCGTAGCTGTCTACCCATTGAGTGAGCCTTTGAGTTCAGGGAGCATGAATATCGGTATCAGTATTATCATCAACACTAATTTAGCACTCGTTGATCTCTTCATTCATTTATCATTTGTTTGTATACTTATTATAAGTATACTCATGTTTGTGCGTATAATAAAGCTGTTACATGTGTGCGTAAAATGCATATACAATGTTGCACGGCTACACGTGTCTATGCATATAAAGATTATGTACATGGCCATACACATGCACACAGACCCCTTTTTTAGACATATGTCCTCACTGGTATCAAGATTTCCTTCCTAACCTAAGCAAACACTAAACCCCTAGACCATAAACCCCTAAACCCTACATCCAAAACCTCTATAAACCCCCAACTGTAAACCCCTAAACCCTAGACAAGCCCTATTCCTCAAGTAGTGGCAGCTTGCCGACAGCGGGGCGATGGGAGAGGCAAAGCCTGCAACTACTTGGGCAATGTGCGGACCTTGGGGACTTCGATTTAGAGGTTTAGGGCTTCAGGGTTGTTTAGGGTTGAGTGATGAAGACCACCGTTGGGAGCTACTATAGTACTATAGGGACCTAAACTATTTTGGGGGAGTTCCGTTTTAACAGTATAGTATAATATACCCCAAAGCCCTATTCTAGTTATTAATAAGGCCCCTACTGGCATTAGCATCTTGACTCCTTTTCGTTGGTGGTCCCTGACACCGAAGACCTCGACCTAAACGACCCAAGCAGGCGACAGACGCAGCCGGATGCTATCTGGCAGTTTCCGAAAAAGGGGACCCTAATTAATATGGTACCCTATAAGTGGTAGGACCCTTATTATGAGGACCCCCAAAATAAGGTACCCCTAATTTTCGGAAACTGCTATCTCCCACGAGCCGAGGTTTTCCGAACCTGAAACGCTTGCGCCTCTCCGAGTGGGAATCTCAGCACACTTTAGGACTAAGTGTTTGTGGGATTCCTGGGTATACGCAACGAGATAGAGAGAGATACCGCGAGATTGCGATGGAGATCGAGAGAGGGAAAGAAAGAGAGCGAGATAGAGAGAGAGAGAGAGAGAGAGAGAGCGAAGAGATATGATCACTCGGTCGGATTCCAACGGCCCACGAAATCTGAAAGCCCTGTGAGTCAGACTGAGGTCGAGCATCCTGTGTGCCCCGGCCTCAACGAAACCCTGCAGTAGTACTGTGGCCTGAGCCCTTGTGAGTAAATCATTTTAGGGTTTAGGGTTTAGGGTCTAGGGGTATTATACTGAACCAAGAGTATATCATACCCCCAACCCTCTTCTTATCATTGAGGCCCCTATGTTAACTTTATTGGGGTTGTAGTTGTCTTCAGGGTTGTTGCAAAGCATGCACATGTTTGCGATTGACGTGGCATGCTTCAGGACAATTCAGCGAAGTTACCGCAGTTCGCTTGTCAAGCTCGGAGCCGTTGTAGGTCCAGCCATAGATGATGGGGGCAGCAATAATCCTTAAATGCCTGACAGCCCTCACGTTAAAGCATGAGCACCCGCACCCCTTTACCCTAAACCCAGATGCGTATTGAGCTCATAAACTCGAAGCCCTACGACATCCCAAACAATGATTCCCTAAACCTGAACTTGTTGGGGTTTAGGGTTTATGATACCGGGTCTAGGGTTCTGACCCGGAAAACTGAACCCTACGGTTGTTTTAATTTTCAGGCTCCCAGAACCCGCAGGTTCGAGAGTTGGGCTCGCACCTGGCCAAGCTGCAGGTGCTCACTTGTCGGAGAATGGTTTCGGGTGTAGGAGTTTTCGAAAGTTGGCGTTTGTAGGAGTTCGCATGCAAAAGCACTCTAGGTGTGTGCATGTACCTACAGAAGATGTATGCGCATATGATGTGCAAGTATGTACGCATGCGCATCATTGGTCCTGTTTGAATTGCAATCGAGGCATGCGTAGACCAGCAATACGACACAAGCCAGACCTATGGCAGTCCCTGCAGAGCAAGGGTCCTGTGGCGCTGGGCATCGATTGTTTAAGTTGCGAATGTTGACACACACTGACTACCGACACTAAATACCAATACCCAGACGATCAGAAGGAATAGAACCAATAATCATGCTGGCATGAGGTTGTGTACTGAGGTTGTTTTCGGCACAGATCGCAGCTTTACCAAACGGGTCGATGCCTGTCGCTTCCGTTGCACGGGTGGGCCCTTTTGGAGTTTTGGGGTTTCGGCTTTTGGGGTTTAGGGTTTGGGGTCGGGGTTCTGCTGCGGGGCTTTAGGGTTTAGGGCTTATCCAAGCAGGTGCTTTGGCTTGGACGATGCGGCTTGCAAGATCTTGATGGCCTCACACTCTTGGAGGCCTCACCGGGCAGCCTGCCCATCGGACTTCTGCATTCGTGTTCGATTGTTGTAGCTAGTTGTCTTTCATGTTCAGCCCTAAACCTTGAACCAGGCGGAAGGAAAAGAGGCGTCAACAAAAAAAACCCTTCCGATTAGCATGTTGTGACAAAGCCGGGGCCTCAGTTCGAGCACTTTGGCACTGCCGGACAGGGGCTGCGAGAGCTGTACCTGCCCTTCAATGACGTTGTGGATGTTGCATTGCCGAAATGGCTGGACCACCTGCAGGCGGCAGCATCACTGTAGGGGCCTAAATGATTACCAATACTAGTTTGGGGGCGCCTTATCATAATTAAAGTATAATGGGCCCCAAAACCACATTTTTATTACTAAGGCCCCCTATATGACATCAAGGAGGGTGATAAAATTCGCAGCAATGATAAATTCGAACAGAGAGGTCGGATTCTCAACGGTACGAAATGTTTGTAATCCTGTTTGTATCATCCAGCAGCTTGAAGCCCCAAAGCGGTTAGCTCCCTAAGCGTTGAACCTCTAAAACTTGCCGGAGGTTTTGGACCTCGAGGGCAACGCTGTCGAAGATCCCGACGACTTAGCCGAGCTATCCTCCCAGAGGGTTGGTTAGGGCTTTTGGGAAATTTAGGGCTTCAAGTGGTAGGCGTTTCGGGATCAGGGTGGGCTGGCGGGGAGTAGGTGGGTTGAGGGCGCAGGAACCGGTGCTTCTGGGTTTGGGGTTCAGGAAGTTCAGGGTCAATGGTCGGTAATTCGAGATTCTGGTTCTGTCTTGGGTTTTTGGGGATTCTGAGGCGGCTCATGCGGGAGTTGATGCAAAGTGTCACCCGTCGACCTCATTGAATCTGCATCGTACATTAAGCCGCGGCTTGGAAGTTGCACCGCAAACCATATCCGATGGAACCTTGTTCTTCTGGCGGCTCCCTATTGATTTCCTTCAGAAGGACAAAGCCCCTCAAGCCTAAACCCCTAAATCCTAAATCCAGCCCCCAAGCCCTAAGACTAAAACGCGGCCGGTAAGAAAGCGAGTTCGATCATCCATAGCCCAAAACCCTTACAAGCCAGGTTAGCGAAGTGCTATGCGCTTCGAGACCTCACCATCCGCGGGAATCCGGTCACCTTTCTGCCGGGCTTCTCCAGGCTTTTCCGGGCCAGGGTTCGGGGTTAAAAGCTCGTAGTTTAAAAAAAAGGGGCCTGAATAGTTACCAATACTATTTTGGGGGCAGGTGGTATGCTGTTGCCACCACGTTTTTGGAGACTCTCAAAACAAAGTCACAGTGAAGGACAGGACATGCCACAGAAGGGCTTCGTGTCCTTCGGCAATGGATCTAAGGGCACAGAAACCTAAACGCGGAGAATGCGGAGGCTTTTTGGAATACTCCCCTATTATGTTGGGAGTTTCCGAAAATAGGGGACCCTAAAATAGTATCCTAAATAGTAGGATCCTCAATATAAGGACCCCAGCCCCCCAATTTTTCGGCAACACCCCTATGAGGCCTCGAGGTCGAGCACGAACGCTTGAATCCTGCAGCAACTGCAAAATCGTCCCCGACGGGGACGGAGACATAAAGCAGAAAGGCCTACGTCCCATTTCCGCGCTTGAAGATGTAGCAACGGGCTTCTGAACATAACTAATGTAGGAACCTGATTAAGAAACCCTGGGCCTATAACCCCAAAATAGCAGGTTCCTACATAATGTAGTCTAATATACCAGCATCCTATTGAAAATACTGAGCTCCCTACATTGAGCCTTGATCCGCCAGCTGCAACACCCCCTTAAAGGGAACTCCAGAAAGTTGGAATATGGTTTCAGGGTAGGATACCTTCTAATTTACCATAAAGGGTTCAGGATAATCATATTCCAACTTTTCTGGCTTTTACTGTAAAGCCAAAGATCTAGAGCCCAAGCCATGGCCTACTGGAACCTACTTGGAGCTTCATGGGTGGTTATAAGTAGGGTTACAAGTCCCCTAATATGAGTTGTAAGTGTAGTTACCATACTTATAACCCCACTTATACTTAGTAGCTGTGTGGATACACTTTACACTTTTGGGGATAATATTACCCACTATAAAACTAAAAGTGTACATTTTGGGGGGGCTTCCCACGAACCTCCAAGTATGCTTCCTTCGAGGGTGTAGGGTTTAGGGATAGTTAGGGCTCGGTGCGCAACACGAGTTCGGCTTGCTGGATGGTGCGATCGGTTTAGGGTTTTCGGTTTAGGGTCTAGGGTTTTCGGTTTAGGGTTTAGGGTTTTGGATTTAGGGTTACTCTGAGCAGCCGAAAAACACAAAGGATGCAGGTTTCAGAGCCCCGAACCCTAAACCCACAACCTTAAAATCCGAAATACATCACCCTGGACCCCATGTCCCAAGCTGTTAATCAGTAGCAAGGATATCTCTTATAGCCGCTGTAAAGTTATACTGGAATATACCCCATTCTCTGCTCACTAGGCCTCCTGTACTACAACTGTGAAAAACTCACAGAAGACGTACTCGGCCTTTCAAAGCAAAAAACACTGTTTCGTTGTAATCCGTAAACCGCCAATCCTTAGTCCCGATAAACCCTGTAAGTCCGGAAGCCTATCAACCCACGAACGGCTCATGAACCCTTTTAGCCCTAAACCTCAAGCCCTGACCCTAAGTCCTTCAACCCCATACCCTAAACCCTCAAGCCAGCAAGTTATAGAAGTTGTATACTGGGCGGCAAGGTTTTTGCTGCTTTGGCTGGCAGAGCTATCAGCGACAAAAGCACCATCAAAACAGAGGGCGCGAAACGAAACAGCTCCTCCGAGCCCTCAGCCCTAAACCGCTAAACCCTAGAAGACTATAAGCCCTAAATCCCAAACCCCCTAAACCCTATAAGACTATAAGCCCTAAACCCCAAACCCCCAAAACCCTAAGCCCTATGAAGCCCTAGATCCTGCAGGCGAACGTTCTTCGATCAGATGCCGAGTTTGGAGTTCTTAGACGACCTTCCGTGCTTTGTCTGCAAGCCCAGGTTTAGGGTTTATAGGTTTTAGCGCTTAGAAATTAAGTTTACGGTTGAGGTTTTATAGGGCTTGCGATTTTGATTTACAGGTTAAGGATTAAGTTTAGGGGTTTAGTTCGGGGTTCGTAGGTTTTAGTCGCAGCCTAGGGGTCAAGTTACGGACCAATGTGTTTCTGCATGTGTACCGTTGTTTGTGTATTACCTTGTGCTATGAAGATGTATCACATTGCACCAAATGGGTATGTGTCTCATTGTATAATATATATATATATATATATATATATATATATATATATATATATATATATATATTCTTATATTATATATATATATAAACATTCTTCTGCCTTGGCAGGAACTTTCCTGACCTACCTTTGCAAGCCGATCTACCCTGCGAGGACACAAAGTGCTCACTTTCAGAGGCATGCAACCACCCATGGCCTGTCAGACTCGATGGACCCTGCCCGGGTGTATCGTGCAAGGTCCTGAAAGAAGCACCCTCATAATTGGCCCTACACCCACATTACTAGCAATGAAGACAATAGCAATACGAATGGCAATATTGCTAATACTACAGACTACTGATGGTTATAGCCATGATCATAAGAATAGCCATAAGAGCACTAGTAAGTGTGACGATAGCAGTAGTAGGAAAAGCTTCGGTCCTTCACAAGACAATGCAATTTCAAGCGTGTCATGGTGCGAAGCATTGCAACAGTCATTGCAAGAATCAGTGTAGTTGTCATCGCATGACTTACTAGTAGCTGTTGTCGGAGCCGTTTCCGGGCAGTATATGATAGCAAATGCCTTGCCGAGGTTTAAGCACTCCAACAAAGCCTGCATGACAGCTCCATCTATGCACGAATCCTACATGAGGGTTTCAGAATGATCAGGAACCACAATGCGGACCCCCCCCAATCCAAAAGCAGAGATAATCATGAACATTGCCAATCAGGGGCCCTAAACCTCGTGTCCCTTGCCATGAGCCACAGGAGTCATTTGATGGCGATGCAGAGCGATTTCTGGACCGTTATTTGGACTCTTGGCCATGGGCGGTCCTGAGTTGGGACTCTCCATTTGGGGTGACCAAGGGCTTTGACAGTAGAGTCAGCCATAGCCATTTGCCATAAGATAACGCTTTCAATCAAGTTCTGCCAAATCACCAAAACATACCCTAAACCCTTAAAGTCCGAAACACCGCTATCCCGAGCCCAAAACGTTTCAACTGAGGCCTGCGATCTCGACTTGTACATGGACCTGTACCTACAAGAGCCGCCACAAGCAGATGAGGACTGGCCGCCCTTAACCAACAGGGACCCTTACGCGGGCAACGGGGAGGGGGGGGGGGGTAGGGACTCTGCTTCCTTAAATGGTAAGTCCCTATTATAGGTACTAAGGCCCGCCACCCCCCTCCACCCTACCCCCCTAAGGGTCCTTACCTTATGATTACTTGGAGGTTCATGGGTAGTTATAAGCAGGGTTATAAGTCCCCTAATATGAGTTACAAGTATAGTTACCATACTTATAATCCCAGTTATAACTACCCATGAACCCTAAACCCTATACCCTTATAGAATCCCTATAGATCCCTTTAAAGGACCCTAACAACCCCAGTTATAACTACCCATGAACCTCCAAGTAGCGAACCCTGGACTCCTCGACTCGACCATGTAGGGTTTTGGGATCTAGGGGGGTTTGGGGTTCAGGGTTGAGGGGGTTTGGGGTTTAGGGATTAGGGATTTGGGGGGTTTGGGGTTCAGGGGGTTTGGGGTTTAGGGATTAGGGATTTGGGGGGGGGGGGGGGTTTGGGGTTTTAGGGGTAGGGCTCAGTGGCTTTCTCCAGACTCGGTACTAACCCTAAGACCCCAAGTATACGAATAGTATATACCTACTTTGGGGGTCTAAATAAAGTCTATAAATGCTACCTACTGTGGGCCGTTTGCTTAGGGTAAGTCAGGCAAGCAAAAGCATGCAAGCCAGGCAAACTTCGGATCACCATTGAAGCAAGTCGTTGCCCAAGGGAGTTGGAAAGTAGCACTCGCGAAGCCCATTTAATCTATCTAGAGAGTTCAGGGTTTATAGGTTTTGTGCTATGGGCTGTAATTTTAGTCAGGAGTTCCCTCATATCACTCACTCGTGCCAAGGCACCAATGTCACAGAAGGGCTTTCAGCATCCCCGTCACCACATACAGCGATGCACCAATCTACTATTTCGCCCGACTAAGATCGGGGTCTGAAGAATTGATAAAGTCATTATCCTCTTAAAGTCCCTTCACAAGTATATCATAGTTTTCTTCCCCAACCCCTGTTCCAATTAATGCCGGGCCAGTGCCGAACACTTTGCTCAAGCAGAGGCCAAAAAGCATCATAAGAGAAGTAGGACCGGCAATACATGCAGATCCTTCAGCAAGCTCCAACAAGCTTCACGAATTCGTTACTCTATCTCTACTGGTACGGCATTGCTGCAATATACTTACAAGTGTCTTGGTGCATACCATATATTATACATGCACAGGGACTAATTACAACGGACTAGCCATTCTTTAGTCATGTGCTGTTTTCCAGGGGTTTTCAGGGTTCATCGCCTACGGACGCCATGGATGTGATCAACCTCGAGGAAGCTCCGGCCAAGCGCCAGCGTGTGGAGGGAGGCAATCCCTGCTCACCCTCAGAGTGCCACGGTTTAGAGCGTAGGTTCCGGGTGCAGGGTTTGGGGTTTCTGTGTGGGGTGGAGGAGCAGGAGCACGTCGTAGTCTTGATCGTCGTCGTCACCGCCGGTCGTCGTGGCCGTAGTCGCGTCGTATTCGTAGTACCGGTACTATATTATTATTACTATTATTATTACTATTATTATTATTGTTATTATTATTATTATTGTTATTTTTATTTTTATTCTTATTATTCTTATTATTCTTATCATGATTATTAGTAGTAGTAGTGAGCAGGAGTCGTCGTGGGATGGTGCTGGTGCTGCTCGTGCTCGAGACATGACTGCGCTTGAAATACTGCCAGTGATGGCTACCTGCCGGGTTGCCTAGGTAATCTTCGCCATTGGCCATTCATTCTGCGTTCCGGACTTAACACTGTTTAGATACTCAGGGCGAATCTTATTGTACTTCCATTGTCAGCCGCAGAGTTATTTCTTCTGCGACGCTATACTTACAAGAACCCTAAACAATAAACCGAGCCCGAGCCCTCAAAGCCTCAGTTGTTGCCAGGCGCCATCAAGCCTTCACCTGTTCCTGGCAAGAAGCAGCTTGGAAGCACAGTCTGCAGTTGTACAGAAACTTGAATCACTGCAGACCTGAGACACCAGGGTCCATATGATCCCCCCATAGGTCTTATATCATCACCCAATATGACGCAGCATTCATGGGGAGCTTTCTCTATGCTTAAGGAGTCGGAACAAAAGGCATGTTTTCAGAGGCGAGGGCAGAGATTGGGAGATGGTGTGACAAGGCCAAGAGCAGGACAACGGACGGACTGCACAGGGGGTACCACATGGGAGTTTTCGAAAATTGGGGACCCTAATCTAATACCCTACATAGTAGGATCCTTATTGTAGGGAATAAGGTACCCCTCATTTTCGGAAGCTCCTACATTTTCAGGAGAAGAAAATAAAGCAATCTCAACTACTGGAACCCGAATATGCAGGTTCCTCATTCCCCATCCATTCTGGACATCCCTTGTGACTCTAGCTTGAGATTCCTTCTGGTGCCTCTGCTGCTACCTCTTACTGCAAGCAGGACTGTCAAAGCAACCCAAATTTAGGGGCTGCGCCCAGGTGCGGGCAGCGCGAGCTGTTGTCAGAAACCCGCGGTATATAGATAAGTGCAACGTAGGCCCGAAGTGCGCAACTTGTGGGTGATCGTAGGCTCTCAGCCCCCGTCGGCCCTGCATGTAGCCCGCACCCCCCGTCCGCCGGACCCCGCTGATGCTCATGATGCGCGCCCTTTGGCGGCTTCCGCAACCCACTCAAAAACTTGGGAGTTATGACTTCGCGCCCACGTCGCGCCGCCGGCGCCGGTTGCGGGCGCCCGAGGGCTCATGATGCTCGCCGGCTCGCCTCCTGGGGTCGTCCACGGCGGCCCCGAAACCCGCCACACCGCGGGGAATGGCTGCAAAACGCGTGCGCGTTCCGAGACGCCTTCGGGCCAGGCCCCGCGCGGCCCGAGGGAGAAACGAGGGTCCGATGATGCGGGGTCCGGGGCGGGTCGGCGGCACTGTCGGTCGTGGCTTCTGCTTCGCAGACGAAGCTCATTCGTCTGAGCCATAGCTCAGTCCATACAGGGCAGCGAAGCGCTGCCCGATTTAAGAGCCTCCGGCTCAAGCCGCCGACCCCGTGGGCGACAAAGCAGAAGCCGACTGCATCTGTACAGGAGCTATGTGGGGACCAGGGATGTGGGAGGGGGGAACGGGGGGGAGAGGGGGAGGGGGGGGAGGGAGGGGGGGGGAGGGGGGGGGAAGGAGGGGAGGAGGGGAGGGGAGGCGAAAAAAATTGATGGTCTCCTACAGTGAACTGATTTGAACCCAATGGGCTGCGGTGTGATGCTTCTGGGGGCTTGGGTGCTGCTTGCAAACAGCCATGGGGTACCCCCCCCCCCTCAGGGGGCGTCCGGTGCGGGATTTTGGTTGGGGAGGAGGGAAAAAGGGAGGTTAACACCTCCAAACCCATCGAGACCCATCCAACACGCCGCCAGGGATCCGAACCCTTATCCCTCAGCCCTAAACCCGCAAACCTGTAACGGAACCCAGAACACGGTTGATGATATTAGCCCTGCATTACCCACAATAAGGAATATAATATATCATAATTCCCATAGGGTCTTTAAGGTATTGCAGGGTTTGTATCATCAACCATATGGAAACCCATTCCATAGGGACCGGACTGGAACGAAGCGCTTGACCATCAGCCCCACAACTGAGCACCGACTCAGACAACTTAAACACTTTAATTTCGAAGCTTGTCTACTCGAATTCCGGAAACCGGCCTCTAAACCCACTGCTCAACCACTAAACTTGCAGAGTAGTAAGAATAGTAGTCATCATGACAGCGAAAATAATGTCAATATAGGTAAAACAATCATAGTCATAATTGTATAAGTATGGTATCACTAAGCCCAGGCAGTCCACCCTCTTCGCAGCTTTTGGAAAGCCCGCCACGCCGCTCTCCAATCCAGGTCCCTCTGGCCTTAGATTGGGGACCCAAAATGCACATAAGCATAAGCATGTTTTAGGGATGTCCCTACCTTATTGGGCTTCATTATAAGGGGTTTATATGGGACATCTATCCTTATTTTGCTTATGTGCTTTTGGGGGCCCTTTTAGGGTGCAGAGTTAAGAGCCCTGAGCCCTAAACCTTAAGGGTCTGCACAGGCCAAGAACTCCGGCTTCGAAGGTTTGGTGTCTGTTTCGGCCTGAAAGCTTTGCTGTTTTAGGTGTTTCGGGCTTTAGGGTTTGAAGGTTTAGCGGTTCAGACGTAGAGCATCCATGCATTTGGAGTTGAAAGGGTGCAGGGGTTGTGTTTTAGTTTTGTTCGGGCCTGGGGCTTCATGATGCAGTGTGCTGTTGCAGGTCTTAAGACAGCTGCTGTTGATTATGTATAGCTTCATGGTTTGAGGATTTGGATTGGCTTCGTGGCTCATAATAGATGACCAGTAAACCCTACAATGCGACCCCCAAGCTCTGTTGAACATTTAACTTATAGTGGTTGAGTTGGCTAGCACCTTTGGCCCTTGAACACCGGCGCACAAACCCCCAACGCTACGTCCTGAACCTCAAAAGCCAGGAGCCCTTGGAACAGGAATTCTATTCTAAGCTTTCAGGCCCCTATACTAAACCCTAAAACCCCGTTGAAGCCTCATGGACCCTTCTTTAGGGCCTTCCTGCTTAGAGTAGGAGCCCTTTAAAGGGCTTCTAAACTTTAGGAGCCCTCTAAAGGGATCCTAAATTTTAGGAGCCCTTTAAAGGGATCCTACTCTAAGTTCAAAGGGATCCTACTCTAAGTAGGAAGGCCCCCAATATTGCAGAGCCAGGCCAGGGCCCCTCCCCGGAAGACGAGGACGCAGAGAGACGGGAGAGTCCAGCATGTTTGGGGGTTTTAGGGTATGAGGGTTTAGGGTTTAGGGTATGAGGGTTTAGGGTTTAGGGTTTGCGATTTCGTGAGTTCAGGGTTTCAGTATTTAGGGGTTTGGGTTTAGGTTTTTAAGGCTGAAGGGGCTGGGTGTAAAGCTGTGAAGGATCTTCTCTTCAGGTGCTTCGTTGTCTTGGATTTAGGGCTTGGGGGGTTCGGGGGATTTGGGGTTGAGGGGTTAGGGTTTCGGGCTTAGCTGTAGGGCTCTGTCATGGTCTCTGGGGTCTATAGGGGCCAAGAGGCCCTTGGTGGTTTCGTGCGGAGGAGTTCAGCATTTGTGCATTGGGAGGCCCATGGGACTTAGTAAGTAGGTTATAAGTAGGGTTATATTTGGGGTAACTTCATTTAGGGTACTTATCACCCTACTTATAACCTACTTACTAAGTCCCCTGGGCCTCTAAGAGGGGTCAAGGCTTGAAGGATTGGGTTTAGGGTGTGTTTAGGCTTTGAGGTCAGAGGGGTTTGGGATCTTTGGCGGGTTCAGGATTCGTCGTCGATGCCCGCTGCATGCCCCAGCCCTTCAGACGCTCGAAGAATTTATGCTCGGCATTGGCCCATGTTATCCTTGAATCCTGCAACGCACCACATCCCAACTAGATCGCCTGTCTTATCCTACACCCCCCTTGCATCTGAACTGCCCGAATCGCTAGCAAGACTTCGTATGTCTGCCTTAGAGATCCCTTTTGGGATCCCCAGAGAGGTACATCACTCTTATGAGCAAGTCCCCCCCCCAAACCCTGAAGCCTAAACCCTAAACTCCCCAAACTCTAAACCCCAAACCCTGAAGCCTAAAACCCTAAACCCCAATCATGGGCACTTGCACGGGAGGTGGTCCTGAAGAAAAGGAGTTTCAAAAGAAAGCTGACCATGAACCCCTGAACCCTAAACGGCCCTAAACACTAAAACCCCAACACCCTAAAGCCCTATAGTTATGAACCCTAAATTGACTAAACCCCAACACACCAAAGCACTGAAGCCCTAAAACCTAAGGGCCCCTGACATACACCCCCAAGGCTCCAAGTACCCAATAACCATATACTCAAGGGATTCGGAACGCATGCTCGCTGACAGTCCGTGCTTCTAGGCTGCGACCGTGCTCGCTCAGTTGACTTTTCAAGATACATGGGGCTACATTCAGAGGGCAGAAGCATGCAGCTCAGCACGTCTTGACATGCAAACAGGACACAATTTAAGGCTGCTGTTTAGGATTCCTTGCTGCCATGGTGTCGTGGCGGGATAGGATTTTGGAGGTGGCCCCTTTTGTGGGGAATGCCGAGTATTTTTATGATTGCCCGGCTTTCCGCCGGGAGCGGATCCTGCATCTGTTCGAGTTTGGGAACTCGTTGTGTGCAAATGCACTTGATCGCGATCCTTTGTGGCAATATGAGGGTTTGTGAGTCATTCTTTGATTTCAGAGAAGCCATGAGACGGATGTTCCACTGTTCCTGATAAGGAGGGGTTCGCCAGCGCCGCCGTCGACGATGAGTCTTTGTTGACGAGTCGTGGTCAGGAGCTATGCTCCTTGATAGCAAATAAATATTGTATTCTCATCTTCTGAGTGACTTGGCAATTTTCTCACTGAGGCTTGCTCATGACGACAAGGGTTTTGCCTGGAGGGCTGGTGCTTATCGTGTGCCTGGATTCAAATAGAATTCGTTCAGTCATGATACTGGGTATGGTTTTTTCAGTCGTGTTCCGGAGAAATTGAGGCCATTCCATCGTCAAGATGTTCAGGAGGATGATGTGAAGGCGGTGGCAGTGACTCGGCTTCGATTTGCGGTCGCTGCTGCTTCGGGGTTTTCGTGCTTGGGTGCCATTCGCAGCCCAGGCATTCTTGACTGTGGTGGCCCGGCTGTGCGCCTGGATCAAGGTACGATTGCTTATCCAGCTCTATGAGAAATATGCCGCCTGGATGGAGTCCGATCCAAAGCTGAAGGACAGTCTGCATTAACTGGGGCTAGGGACGGCGAGGAATTGAGTTGGCAGCAATGACATATGTCTTGATCCTCGTTGCCGTGCAAACAGGAAGCCAGCAATGAGCTGAAGTATAGCAGGGTGTTGCTGCCCTTGGGTGTGTTCGGGGCCAACAGGCAGCCGCTCGGTTGCATGTGTTTTCGCAGTTGGAGTCCGTCTTTCGAGTCTATTGAATAGCTAGAAATCCAACCCAGGAGCAGCATCTTGCTTTGGGGATCCGACCACCTGGTTATCAGATCCATGAAGCACATTGCTGGGCGGCTCCTGAGAATGCAGCTTGTTCGGAATTGGGGGGTTCGGTTGCTTGTAGTTTCTATCCTGTGCTGCTCAGGTTCTGTTGGGTGGCCAACAAAAAGGACTCCGCCTTCCCGGCACCGCCGTCTTTGGTCGAGGACCGCACGGCAACCTTTGTGTATGCCGCCACTCGCCTGTAACTTCAGCCTTTGAGCGGTTTAGCTGTGTGCTTTGTGCCTGGGTGTGCTAACCCCCGCTTCAGATGGTGGACGTGCTGCTGCTGAGACACAAGAGATCTGTGGAGAGCTTGATCTCGCTGCATATGGTCCGTGTTTTGGATGAGATAACGAGAGATTTGGTGAAGCAGGCCAGGGCGGGAGTTCATCTCAAACTTGTTTCGTTGAAATAAGAAAACTGGTCCCTGAGGACCTTGACTGCTGTTACAGCGCCTACGTTCCGGAAAAACGATTCCCCGACTTTTGCCGCAACCCACGCCGGGACATGAAGTTCGAGGCAACATTCTAAATCTCGTTCCACAAACGTATTTGACTTGAGCCGTGAGTGCTAGTGACTGCTAGTGGTTTCATGAAATTGTTGCACCCTTCTTCCTGCCCCTACAGATCAGCGAGTTCTATGTGACTCCGCCCCTCGGGCCAACGGCACTGATTCCGGCGACATGGCTGCATGAAGTGTGTGCTGCTGGCTTCGGTTCTTTCTGCTGCACGTTGTCGCTTTTCGGTGTGTGCTTGTGTTCGCATGTCGCTGGGAACGGTTTCTATCCTGGTGCGGTGGAGTGGAATTAGCGGAATTGCTGAGGCAGCCGAAGCCACTGTCGTGGATTTTCTGGGCGAGGACCAGCCTTTGTCCAGATATAATTTCTGGCTCTGTGTCTGCTTTCGTGCGAAAGGGCTGGCTTGATTGATTGAGTGTAGTTCATGGACTATTAGTTGACTGAGGGTTCTTTAAATCGGAATTTGTGGGGATGGGGATGGCCGACTTCTGCAGGAATGGGAAATCCTGGCTACTGGCGGGGCCTGAAAACGGCGAGCAAAAGTTGCTCGGATTACAACAGTAATCTAGAACATGGGATTCCAAGTAAAGTCGGTGTGATCTAAAACCCTGGAGTTATCAGAACCGAAGAGCACTTAATTGTAATAATATAACAAGAATGTGCCTCACGCCACTGGGTTCACGGAGCAATCATGCAGTGACTTGCTTTGCACAAGCAGCGGCACGCACACAGACAGAAACTCACGCAGAGGCTTTTTTGACTGTCACTCATTGCAGCTTCGATATCTCAGGCACTGTTGAGATCGGCAGTGGACCGTGGGATATGATTATGATGAGATCTGGAATGATCAAATTTTGGTGGTTCGATGACTGCGATGATATTATCCGATTATCTGATAATCGGGGGATCGACTGGCAAGCTGCTTGGATTGAATCAATTCAACAATGAATCAGGCCACACGGCTCTCAGCTGCAACTTTGGTCGTGCTGCGATTAGAAGGATTGATAGTCTAGTGTTGAGCCATTGAAATTGGGTTGGGTCCGTAGTCTGGTAGTTGTGGTGAGTTCCATAGTTATAATGTTATAGTGACACTAACTAGATTGTACAAATATGCTTACACATGTTCATACCTACTTCAGATCGAAGTGCTGGCTTCTGATTGCAAGCCCAATGCAATGCATTCAATAATTATAGACAAAATAGAGCCATACTGACTGACTAGATACCACGGTCTAAATACTTCTGAATCCTCAGTTGAAACACAGTAGTATAAAAGATTATTATACAAAACAATTAAAGGATGAAGCCAAGTACAAAACCCTGAAACAATGCCCTGAACCATTCCCGCAACTTTGGGGCTTCTTGGGACGCTCGAGTCATCCGTCATAGCTCGTGTTTAGTTAGTTAATCTATTAATTAGTCAATGTGAAATAATTGAATGCCGTGTGCCTACTTGAACTCCTGTCGGTTTGGGTCCGTTCTTAATCATAACCTACCCCAACTAACTAATCATAACCGGTCTCCGCTGGTACGAGGTCGCGATCTAAATACAATTGCACGGAACGATGCACTGAACTAAGTTGCAGCCGATTGGGCTATTGCTGCTGGGATTCTGGGTGAGTGATGCTTTTCTAGATTAGTTTTTCATTTGTGCTTGGCCGAACACACGAATACTTTAAGAAAGCCGCAGCCCTCGATCTCAGGTGCACAGCAGCGAGCCAGTTGCACACGTTCCTCGCTGCAGCTCAGAAGCTTCATCCGGGGGCAGGAAAAGCGAGGGTCCTGTTGGCCTTTGTAGGAGGAGTGGATCGAGTCATGACTCATGAATGTGAAGCTTGATGCACTTTGCTTTCGAGTGCCTCGACTTGTTTGCTCATGCAAGGGCTTCCGGATGGCATGCACTAGTCACGAGACACTTGCAGCAAACAGAAATGCAACACGCACAGGGTTTTCACTGCAGGGCTTCCATTAAGGCATTATGGTTGTCGGGGACCGATTTCTCCGTTTAATTTAGGCGACTGGGCTCTAGCCTATTGGGCGCTTTTTGCTTCGGTTTGGGCTCGTGCGAGCCCTCCCTCTGATCCTGGATCCATGGTGAATGTGAACTCCCGCGGCCGGATTACGAGGATTGGGGTGGACTAACTACTAAATGCAGCACGGATACACAGCATGATGGTATGCAGGTGTCAGGTTGCAAACAACTACTGGTATTGCCATTCTGGCCCTGACTAGGTCGCTCTCCACAAGATCTTTGCCGAGTGCCCCGGGAGAGAACGAGGCCGAGGATCCGGCCAGAAGCTTCATGCTGCAGACGGCCCGGAAGAGCTTGGATGAAGTCCTGGCCGGTGCCGGCGACTCGGGTGCACTCAGACTCACGCCACATGCCTTGGGTGTTGACAGCAACAGTGCTCTTTTTGTCATTTGTTTGTGTGCATCTCATCAACCAACACGACAAGCTGTGGAATTTGCATCGCATGCAGCTTGGGCTGTTCCATATTCAGGCAAAGACAACGAGAAGTCGGCGAAGGAGAAGAAGGGAAAGAAAAAGGATGGAAAGAAGGAGAAGAAGGGGAAGTCTTCTAAGAAGAAGAGTAAGAAGTCCAGCCCGCCGGCCAATAAATTCATACTTCCTGCCTAAATCCCATAAACCTGAACCTTCAGCCCTTGAAGCCCTTACTTGCTTGCAGTGTTGATCGCCTCATCCCAGGCAGCTCCGAGGAGTCATCCTCGGATGATTCGAGTGCCTCTGTTGCTTCTTGTGACATCGGCGATGCGGCGGCCCTTCTTGGACTCAGCAAGAAAGAGATGCAAAGGCCTGCCGAATGCATGCGGCTGGATGACCTGTCCACGAAGCAGATGGCAATGATCGTGTCGTCCGTGACGGACACTTTGCCGCCGAGTGACGTGTACGAATGTGGTGGCGAGGTGGTGCCTGGGCTGAATGGTCAGGTCTGTTCGCTGCTCCCAATGTGCTGATTTTGCCGGTTGGTGTAGAGGGGATATTAGAGGGGTTGTTGATTAAATTGGGGGCTACTGTAGTACAACTACGATTTGGGATGCATCAGTGGTGTGTACGACTTCTTGAAACTCCTCTTCCTTTGTGCTCCTAGCCGGGGCTCTTTTGCACGACTGTCGTCTTTCTCTCAGCTACGACAAATGAGCTTGCAGGCTTGTCTCCCTGAGTTGCCATATCAGTCTACATTGCTAATTACTAGATCTGTCTATAATTTGCGACAAAAGAGTTTCAACTCCGAACATTCCAATTTCGCTTGTAGCAAAAGATTATTCTTTTCATGTCTCGATTGCAGGAGACACTCCTGACGGACCGCTGCAAGATGGCGAGCAAGGGTCGCAAGAACAAAGAGGAGATGCTGAAGTTCTCCTTTGAGGCTTCAATAGAACTCGTCTTGTACATGACAAAGTGCAGAAGAGCTGCAGTCTCGCATGGGGGCTTCGGTTGTGGTCAGGGGGATTGCCTGAAGCGAAGGTTTACACATGTAGCTTGTTATGTTGATGGACAAGGTCAGGACTGTGGTCCATTCGTGATAATTCTAATTATGCATACGGAGCAAGAACTCGCACATTGTGATTGTGTTCTATAGCCGAAGACTTTGAGGATAGACGGGGCTTTCACTGTAAATTAGCTATTTCTCCCAAATCCAAAAGTAGTTGCTTCTAGTTCTTGACCTAAATGGAACCCAACATCCAAACCCGGCACATCCAGGAATATGCAGTTCTCTGATGTTTCTTTAGCAGCGACAAAACCATGTAAAGAACCGTCTTGTCAGTCTTGTCCACTGAACGATGTCCCGGCTATCCGACCTCCTGACCGCGAACCCCCGACCCGCACTCTGACTCCTCGCCTATGCAGGTGAAGACTGCCAGCACGGTGTGGAAACGCAGGATCAGCGATCTGGTGCTGGTTCGTTCCTTGGCTGGTAGGGTTTGAGGATTGTATTAAATAATTAAATAAGTTGGGAGGATTCGGGTATATCGTGGCTTTTCTATTTCAAGGGGCCTGTGCTGGACCTCTCTTCGCAAAATCGGGCTTAGTCTGTCTGCATTCACAGACTGACAGAAGCTAGCCTGGGCAATCCCATGATAGGCTTGAGTAGCCTGTCCCTGTATGATTTGCTGGGGTACTTCGTCTTGACTATAATCATAGTGACTAGAAAAGCAGAAGTGCCCTTGTACATCAACACTGCCGTCCTGTGTCCATGGGCTAGCAAGAACAAAAAAACTATGTTACGCGGAATCAATCCTACAGCGAGACAAGCAGACTTCCCTTGATCAAAGATCCGTGACCCAACAATTTAGAATATCGGCAGATCTGAGACCCTTGTCACACCCGAATTCAACATAATAACAAACAGTATGGTTGTGGATCTAGGATACTTCTCCCGATACCTGAATGACCCGGATGCCCTGTGTGCTCCAGTTTGTGGCCGGGCCCCGCCCAACATTCCGCTCGGCAATGCCAAGACGTTGAGCGACTGTGCCGCCTACCTCAGAAATATCTACAAGAAACACTGCAGGTGTGCCGGGCTGTCGCTTTGTGTTTTGCAGTTCCCGAACACAGCAGCTATGAATGACTCTATATGGGTTCGTTCCTGCGAGGAAAACTGGAAAGGAGAATGTGGAGAAAAGTTTGGCCGCCACCCTTCAGAAGTTTCGTGAGGTGCTGTTTGTCGCTCGAAGTGTCAATCTGCTTGCTGTGCTGTTGGGCTGTTTTGTGCTGTCTTAGCAGTGCCGCAATTCTGAAATAGCTATCGTCAGGCCGCGACCAACGACCTGAACGGTCAGCTCAAAGGACCCAAGCAGCCGGAAGGGAAGCCGCGGCGGCCCAAGCCCATGCTGCCGGAGGATCCAACCAGGAGCAAGCGAGCCCGCCCTGCCGAGAGGCCGAAGGTCAAAGAGGAAGAGAAAGAGGAGGAGAAAGAGGAGGAGGATGATGATAAGTTCTTGGGCGAGAATGATGTGCCGAGCCCTCCCTCCTACATGGACAGCCAGGCGAGTGGAGATGAGGCAAGCCAGGCAGAGCCCCGAGCCAGAAGCCGATGGTGCCAAGGAGGAAGAGGAGGAGCACAATGACGATGACATTTTTGAAGGTAAGTTCGCCCGCGATGAAAAGCCACGCGAGGATGCTTTGGCAGGGGTCGGCACGAATATCAAAGCCCTCCTGAATGAAAAGTTCAACAAAGACCTCGTGCTGACGCTCCCGAAAGACCTGTCCGAGCCCTCCGGTAGCACCCTTTTGTGTTCTCGTGCCCGACATCCCTTTGTCTTCTTACTTCGTTGGTTTGTTTGTCTGCAGCAGCCAAGGAGTGATATGATGATGTGGGTCCGCATGTTGTCCAAGGAGTGCCTCTTCACTCTGGAGGATGTGCAGGCAGCCGTGCAAATGCCGGGCAACTTGTTGCACTATGCTGTCTCTGTGTTTGTTACTGTTTGTTGACTCGACGACCGCAGCTAATACCTAGATTCGACAAAGTGCATTCTCCCTGTCAATCAGGCAAGCTCACGCAGAATCTGAACTTGGGCAAGAGCTATTACAACAAGATGTCTGTGAAAGCCAAATCGATGCTGGATTCTTGGAGCCAGGCCGTTGGGTCTGGCGAGGCTGCTTGTCTGAAGCTCGTTGTTTTGCACATACTGACGTGTCGGAGATCCAAGCCAGACTGTGAAGCTTTGCATCCACGAGGCCTTTGTGACTCCCAGCCGCCGGCCGGCCATCACGAACAGCAAGGCTTCCTGAGGCTGGCTGAGGGCTGGTCGTTCTTGGAATTTTGAAGCTGCCAGCTGCTTCCAAGCTAAAGGGGGCTCTAGGCCCTTTGGCTGAGGTCCGGGATGAGGTATTATTTATTAGTCTACCACTACCGAATCCTAAATAAAATTATTCTTGAATAGTAGGGAGTATGTTAACTACTTGGCTACTTGGTGCTGGCATTTGATTCACGACTTTCCTGAGCGGAAATCGCAAGACTGCTTTCCGAAGTCCTAGACTAGACTAGAGGGCTTTAGGTGTTAATGTGGGTTACATAAATTATATTAAAGAAACTAAATAATAGGCCAGGCCAAGGTGTCATTGAATACGCGGAGCAGCCGGGAGCAGCCTGTCCAATCCTTGCAAATTGCACATGTGCTTGTGCTGGAAAATACGAGAAGCAATGCAAAGCTCACAGATTCAATCCACGCCGCTGTTGCTACTGTGTGCTTCTTGCTGTAGCACTTGCAGAGTTGCCCATCGCATGTGTGTCCTTATCGTCTTGATTCTTGAAGCTTTGGCTGCCCAGAATGCAGCTAGTAGGGGCAACACGCTGAGGAACAGCAAATAGCTTCCAAGCACAGTCTCGTCCTAGTCGTGCAAGAACCGAAACCCAAAGAACCCGGAGACCCTACAAGTCACGACTACTTAAATCCCGGAGCTTAGCTTCCAAGCCACGCTTCTTGCTGAGAGCCCAGGACTCATGATGTTAGGATTCGCAGCTTGGGTCGCGAGTGCCGCCCACTGTAGGCTAGTCTATTAATAGAATATTAGTCAGACGCGACGAAATAAGAAAGATTCGCCTTGGGTTAGGGGCCGACACTCTGGGGTTTCGGAGGCACACAAATAGTTATGTATGAACTAGTAGTACAGTTAATACATCATGTGCTCAAAATAGAAGTACTATTGCTATTTGTACTTCCTACATTCGATACAGAAAACCAAGCCTACTTTAATTTATTATAAGCCAAAGAATCCGAATAAGCAGTAAGAATAGTGTAGACTGTTTAGATGTAGCCTTTGCCCGGCCGATTGGCACCTGCTCCTGGTCCTGGTGGATCGCAGCCGATCCACTGGAGAGCCTCGGCTTGGAATTGAATGCCGGGAGGGGGCCGGAGCCGGGGGAGCCCGGAAACCGGAATGTGCTGCAAGAGAAGTTTAGAAGGCAATGGGAGGTTTTCGGCTATTTGGGCCGGTGTTTCGCCTGTCGCTGCACTGCAACGTGCTCGCTCGCACACAACGTGCTCGCTCAACCGCAACGTGCTCGCTCGCACACAACGTGCTCTCTCGCACGCAACGTGCTCGCTCGGGAAGATTTTGCCGACACGTTGTCGCACGGTTCCGGCACAAAACTGCGAGCGAGCACCCTGTTCTCCTAAATCCCACACACGCCCGCTAAATGCAAAAACGTCGGGACATGCTACGTGCTTGCTCGACAGGCTAGGATTTAAAGGAATGCGTGCTCGCTCAACATTTTAGCCCCGCACCCTGCCGCACCGCGACCTCTGAGCCCGCACCCTAACCTCAGCGAGCACTGTCGCCCATTGCAACGACCCAGGACGAGCAACGGCTCAATGGCCGCGATACACTGGCTACGGGAGAGGCTCAAGCAGCTCTCCGAGTTACTGGGCAAGCACCGTGCTCGCTCGTTCCGGAGCACCCAAGCAGATTAGGCATTGGCCCCACCATCCGAGGACTGAAGATACTTCTGTGCGGGCGGAATTGCTGTCGAAACTGCAGCAAAAGATTACCATTGTGGATGTGCATCTTCAAGATGGAAAACCTATCGGCGACCTCGATGTCGACAAAGATTCGTGGGAGGACTAGCAGTTGCACTTTAGCTAGCTTTGTGTCCTGTGCTAAGCTGCCCTAAGGAGAGAAAGACCGAGAGAGAGAGAGAGAGAGAGAGAGAGAGAGAGAGAGAGAGAGAGAGAGAGAGAGAGAGAGAGAGAGAGAGAGAGAGAGAGAGAGAGAGAGAGAGAGAGAGAGAGAGAGAGAGAGAGAGAGAGAGAGAGAGCGAGAGAGAGAGAGAGAGACAGAGACAGCGAGAGAGAGGGATAATATGTGTATAGAAACAGGGAGCCAACAATTACAGCTCATTATGGGTCCTGAGTCATAGTCGGGAATGACCGAAAACAGCTTAAGAGAGAATTGCAAAGTGTGTGTGTGTGTGTGTATATGCACGAGACGAGAATGTCTGAGGTGTGAGCATGTTTTTGCGAGAAGAGGGAAAGGGGAACGCATCAGAAACGAGCAGCTGGTGATTTACAGGTTTCTATTCAATTTAAAACAATACAGGAACTTTAGGTCTCAATCCATCCGCTTAGGCAGTCACCTAGCCGTGTTACTCGTTTGTTATGGACACCAGCACTCAAGATGCCCCTGCCAATCATGTCGCCATGCCATGTATAGGTATGTCATTCTCTTTGTCCCTTGTGCTGTAGCTCCCTCACAGACTCTTGCTCTCTCGCTCTCTCTCTCTCTCTCTTTCTCCCTTTCCCTCTCTCTGGCTCCGCCTGTCTCCCCCTCTCTCTCTCTCTCTGACTCTCTCTCTCTCTCTCTCTCTCTCCCTGTCTCTCTCTCTCTCTCTCTCTCTCTCGCTCTCCATATCCATCTCTCCTTTTCTCTCCTTTTCTCTCTCTCTCTCTCTCCATATCTCCCCATCTCTCCATCTATCTCTGTCTCTCTCTCTCTCTCTCTCTCTCTCTCGACTCGAAATCTAAGTTCTGGAACAGGACGCCCTGTCGAAGCACCGAGCGCCAGCTGCAGAGCAGCTGGTGGCATTTCGGCCGAGACTCTTTGATCTGATCCAGCGAGGACAGAGCAGGGAACAGATGGTGCTGGATGATGCAAGCTCGGAGACGCCGAGCCCCGGGTGCGATTACACCCCCACGGAGATTGAGTACCTTAGATTGGAGCAGCCCCAGCGAGGGGTCCTCCAAGTGCACAAGGCAGGTGGGGCTAGCTGTTGTATTTGGGATGTAGAGTAAGTGAGGCCTTGGTTCCGCCCCGAGAATTGTGTCTCTGTGACATGTTTCTGAGGTTTCAGCGGAAAACCATTTGCAGGGCTACAGATATCTCTTCAGGGCAGAGGAGCTGTGGGCCATGACCAAGCGATCTCAACATTTCACGAACTGGTGCACAAAAGTGCCGCTCGACTGCAGCCTTGATCTCCAGAAGCCTTCAAGGTTCAATTTCATGCCAAGCATCCAGATTGCCAGGCAAGACGGGCTCGGCCTCGACATTGCCGAGGCTTGGCGAGTGGATCCCAATGTTCACTTAATCAGGAAAGCCTCCTACAAGGGCTCGGGGGCAATGGTCGCTGCCACCAGACTCAAGTTGCCTTTCGATGGGGTCACCCTCCCCGGCACTATGTGGATGGTGTCCTGAAAGCATTCATTCGGTTTTGCATAGCGAAGTACTTCAGGCTCGCAATGGGGTGTGTCGGGAATGCCTCAGGTCGCCTACGTCCTGCAATCGCGAGGCTGCAAACCTGTGATTCAGGAATCAGCCTTTCAATGCCTCACAGCTTTGATTTCCGCTTGCATCACCAAGCCGCTGATCATCTCTCTTCTTCCAGGCAACGAGCAGTGTCCCTTGCCTCCTTGGCTGTTTTGTTTGTGCTGCTGGGATGCATTCACAAACCGAGGCTGTCTGAAGATATCCCGGGGTTGTGTGAGCCTGGAAACCTGGCGAAACTTCCTGGACTTCGCCGGCTTGCAACAGAGGCTTTTGTTTGGCTTGTACGTTTCCAAGATGCCATAATCTCGAGTCTGATGTCTGCCTGCAGGTGGCAAAGTTGCAAACTCCTGGCGAAGGAGGAGCAACGTGTTGATACAGGCTGACGGTTTCGGAACAAGTCGCCATGCCCTGTCCTATTTATAGATATTTAATTAACGACTACTTTCCCTGCCGAGGCATCCCTCTGGCAACTGCCACCTGGTTTATTCTTCGGGTACATCATCAGGAGGTGATTCAGGACAGGACCCCGGGAATGCTTTCTTAGGTCCTAAATATACAACAACAATAGTTGAATATGAACAGAGTAGCCTACAAGCAACATAGTTCAAATAATGGAGTCTCGGTGCTGATTCGTCAACATAATGACAGGTCCTGCTTCCCTGGATCCCAAATTATTATTAGCCGGAGCTACTGCTAATAACCCTAACAGTAACACTAAGGAAGGTTAGTAACAATAGTGATTTCTAAAAACAAAAGCATTTTCCACATTGAAAACATGCAACAATCATTCATGGTAATAGAGTTGATTATATTCCGACTAATTAATTAATGGCTTGATCATATTAAGTTAGTGTGAATGATAATACTAGTTGAAGAACTATTAATTAATTAGTCATCATGACAAGAATACTATCTAGGGGGTTGTATTTCCTACTAGAAATAGATAGATCTTAGCAAACAATACATAATCAATAGTAACTATTGAATAGTTATCGACGAAGCACAATGGTAATTGTAATCATGAGATAGCAGTAAGTTAATATGACGATCCGAAATGAAAACTAAATGCATCCATCCCCACTGAAACCTCGGGCTCTGAATTATTGTCGCCTCTTCAGGAGCGACATACTTGTGCAAGGCTGCAGATGAGACTGCTTCATCTGTTGTGCCAAGCAGCAGAGAGTCAGATGGGCCACGCCACCACGACAGATATGCCTCCGATTCCTCCGATGCAAGCTGATTACAAATTCCACCCGGCAACGAAGACGCTTGGCATCAGCAGCACTCATGCCCTTGCTTTGATTTGAAACTTCCTGCTGCAATGTGTCCTCGCCCAGAGCCCGCGCCCAGCCTCACGCAGGGATGGCCGCAAGCTCCGGGGCGATTGCAAGCCTCGGGCCGAACTTGCAATTGATAGGTTTATCTCCAGAGGAGGCGGGTTCTGTTCCAGCTCCATGGACAGCTCACTGAAAGACGTGGGCCTTGATTCTATGTGCCCGACCCACTATTCGAGGACCCTGCACACACAGCCGAAGCCACGGACTTAGGTTGGCGAGCCTTGCTACTGTGCACTCTGCAGGACCACGTCGGATTTCATGTGTAGATACACACGCAAAGCCGAGCTCGCCATCAAGCAGGCAGGTTCTTGCAAACAGAGGCTAAGCTAACATGTGCCCATCCCAGAGGCCCTCGGCAACATGGGGATCAAGTCTGTGGCAATACTCTGTGATGCCTCGCCAAAAGCTAAGATGGATGCTCTCCGGCTTAAGTTGGACTGTGTTTCGATTGTGAATCATTTTGTGTTTGTGGAGATCAGAACAACTAATTAACAGGTTTGGCTTCCAGTCCTGGCTATCCCCGGATTGGTCTCGGTCGGGACTTTGCAGCGGCTCTCCACCCTCCTTCCTTCAAATGCCTCGCCCGAAGAAAAGCTACAAGTGGCTGCAATGGTTGCCGACTCCCGAAGCAGCACCCTCCTTTCTGATTCCAAGAAAACTGATCTGAAAAAGAAGTTGCAGCTCGGCCTGCAATAGCTTGTGCTCGGATTTCAATTGTCCATTCAGAGGATTCCAAAACGAATTGAGGCCGAAGGCTTTGAACAACATCCGATCGGAACGGTTGAGCAGCCGGCAAGAACTCAAAGCCCTCGGGAACGTGCTCTCACACGTCAACATCAGTTTGGACGACCTCTTCCCGACGCAGCCGCTGCTCCCAGCGAAAGAGACTGAAACCCGCGAGCTTTACAAGCTGAAATCCGCCGCTATGCCCTTTCTGTTCGACCGCGAGACCGGGGCGAGCCGATGGGACGTCCCCATACACACGGCCCACCTGCGATTAGTGGTATGCCCCGACCAAGGAGGACCGATGTTTTGCTGCTATCAGTATCTGGCTCACCTCGGAGCCGCTGTCTCTTTGGTGAGAGACGAGCTGTAGCTTGCTTGCATTTGCTGGCTCTTGCAATAAAATGACAGAGCATTGAACATTCGGGTAATGCCAACTTAGGCACAAACTGCACGCACACCAGGGAAGGGTGACCTCCTGTTCTCCCGCAGTGAAGCGAGCTTCAGCTGCAACATTTACACAGGATCGTTGCTTGTGATGCCATTCAGCATTCTGACCCAGGAATGACTACTTTATGTGGCTGGCTCTTCAGGGCCAGGAAGTCTCCCTGGAATACCTCCGGATTTGGCAGCACCCTCGCCGAAGCTGGATCCCGATATCTTGAAGTTGCGACTTCGCTGCATAAGTAAGTGCATTGCCTTGCCTGTATACTGTATTCTGAAATATGTCAGTTTCTTTCTAGTTCCTGCAACCCAACACAAACAAAGGCCACGCCCGACGATGTGCTCATGGAAATGTTCCAGCGGGACATACTCAAAGAGACGCTTGTCTTATCCCTCTATTAACAACTGATGCCTTTGCTTGTTTGCCTGAACCATTGCTGGCCCAGGAACTGTATGGAGGAGACACCGGACCGGCAGCTGAACTTCACGAGGGTGATGGATATCCTGGGCAAAACATGCAAGTCTTTGGATGCAGAGAATTTAGATAGTGTAGATTCTTGTCGTGCGACCACTGATTAATATTATTGTTGCAAGGTTTAATGCCGAGACGTTTTCGTGGTCGAGATGGTGCTCCTGGGCCCACACCTCGAAAAGATTTCAGATGAGTGCGACTTTGCTCCTTATCCTGTGGTCGGCTATGGAGGCCCCGGCTCTAGGTCCTAATCAGTCCTAGTCCATGTCTGCTGTTGCTGCATCTGAGATCATCATTATGAGCTTATGTAAATAACTTGATCTCGTGAGGTCGGCAAGAATCCTTTCAAGATCCTGGAGACTGAAGCCGCCGCCCCGCAGAACCAAAAGTCCTACGACAAAGTCGTCGATCTTTGTGTCAAGGCCTTCCCATCATCTGTCAATATGTCAATCGACAATTATCCTTGACTCTGAAAAGTCCCTACAAGCCCTAAACTCAAAACCTCCAACCCTCCAGGCACTCACGAATGAGGAGAGCTTCGGGATCTTCCGTGTGGCCCGCAATGTGCTGGAGCCCTTCCGCGAGCTGTGTTTGGAACTTGTGCCTCGCCTGCAGCCTAAACTTATCTTGAGATGATGGCAGTAGTATCCCGTGAACTAGAAAGATTTATCTGATCGCCGCAACTAAGCAAGAAACCACCAACACGATGAATGCCCACCGCGACTACACTTTGGAGATGAACCGCGGCAGCCTAGAGAAGAAACTCAGTGATTTGGCCACCACGGCCTTGAGCAGCGGAAGTCTGGCAATGATTCCAGATGTGGCGGCCCCCGATGCATTGCAGCCTCGTTCGGAGCAAGTCTTATGAGAATCACTTGTCACTGCTTTTTCGATAGGCACTGATATCCCTAGCCCCTTCAATCAACCAAACTGGAAAGAAGGTTTGGTTTTAGCTCTTAGTCTTAGTCTTAAATAAAACGAATGGATTGCACCGGTGGCTCCCACATGCCTTGAGTCCGACGTCCAAAGGAAGGCGGCTTTGTCATATTGCACAATGCCGAAATTCGAAACCCGAAGCCTCCAAACCAAAACACTTGGTGCAACACTGTATTGGGTTTGTTGTGCCTCAGTGTTTATTAGATATATTATGTTGGAGGTCCTGCGACTGAAGTTTCGAAGATCTGCCACCTACGAAAGTATTCTGAAAGAGGGTCTAGGGCTCTACCTTGCGACCGTGCACGAGCTGATGCAGTACAGCTTGTATTTGCGAAGCAGCCCGCACTGTGCAGCGGCTCTCGTATCTACGAAAGAAGCAGACGATGGCGAAACAAAGCAAAGCATTCTGAACAAGATGAAAGCAGAATGGAAGGTTGTGCTTGCGATGGAATCAAAGCAGGCATCGGCCGACGTTTTGGCAACGAGCTGCTACCACACGAGGTATCAACATTACCGGGAAACCATGGGTTGCTTGGAAATGCACGACTACAAGATGACAACCGAAAGCAAGGAAATTATATCTGCCTGGAACCCGGCTTTCTGCCAAAGCGCCTCCCTCGAGAGCATGTTCGGAGAGATGACTCATGCAGTCAAGCAAGCTGGAAGAGCTGATTGTGGATCCCTCCCCAATTTGCACGCTGTCTCAGTTCGCAGCTTGTACCGACGAGTATGCAAGAAGGAGGGCAGCCCGAATGCTTTGGAACTTTCGAAGGACGACTGGGTTGGTCCTCAAGCTGCAGGGATCAAGCCAAAGGTGTTCTCGCCAACTTCGGCCCCGACTTGCTTCTTGCCAGCATCAATCAAACATGTGTTTGGCGATTGTGTTATTGCGACATCGAGACACATTGTGTTTCAGTTCTCAGGCAAGAATGTGCAGGCAGACGGAATTCTGAAGAACTTCCCCAGCACCTCTGCCTTTTGCCACAATCAGCTTAGCCTGAACACGATGCAGGGGTTCATGAAAGCCCAGGAGCCGCACGGTTGCACGCAGTCACGGGCCGGTTTGGGGCGGTTTTTTTGTATGGAAGTTGATTTCCGAATGCAAACCTGAGGCAGGGGAAGGAGCCCTCTCACGAGTCCTCCGGGTTTTGGGTGCAAGGATGTTTCGCGGCGGGAATGTTGTTCAAGCTCCAGAACACGTTCTACGTTTGCACCGGCAAGACGCCGGCAGTCCTGTATGTTGCTCAGATCAATTATGCTTGGCTTGGAGCACTTTTCTAAAACATGAAATGTGCTGGGCCTGGTGAAACAATGGTCACCTGAGGCTGTGCGATTGAAGGAGCTCCCGTACAAGTTTGCCGGCCCTTTGCCGGAGCAGCAAAGCGATGAGACGAGGGTTCCGTGCAGAAACAAGGATGATTGGTGGGACCCGCTGTTGCAAGGGCTGAACACGCCAGCCCTTACCCTCGACGTCGGCAGGCGATTCCAGGGATGTGGAGGGCCAGGGTTTGCATAGTGCTTGGGGTAGAAGTTAGGGTTCAGTTTTTTTGTTTATGAACTGCTGCAGGGACTTGATCCAGCAGCTCCGCTTTGATTATGATGACGCCGCTTGGCATCAAATCTTCTGAACCAAAGCCCTGGCTCCTTCGTGTCGGTGCTTGCTTGAATCAAGGTTGTCTTCTACGGCTACACGTTGCATGTGTGCGAGCGGGGCTTGGAGGACAAGTGCGGGTCAAGCCTCCTTTTTCGGAGGGGGTTCCAGGAGTTCAGCTTGCTGTGCTACCTCGTGCAAAGCCAAGAGATCCTGCAGACCTCAACAGCATCGCTGACTGAGCTTTTGCAGAAGAGCGATGTGCAGATGCCGAAGTCGACGACCAAGAATCAGAAAATCAGACGATTGCTGTCGCTGGAAGCGGTCAAGCAGGCATGTGGCGAGCAAAAGATTCAGAGGCTTCTCGCGAAGCTGGACGAACAAGATGAGAAGAGAAAGAAGAAAAAGGAGGAGGAGCCGCAACTGCCTGAGGCAAGGCCTTTTCCAAATAAGTCTTGTTGAGGGCTTCGCTTTTGTTCGGACTGAACTATTCAGCATCCCAGGGCGAGATCGAGTGGGAGGAGCTCAACGATGATCCGGCTACCGCTGCCTGCAAAGAGCTTTTGTCCAGACTTGACGAAGAGGAGGAGCAGGAGGCGAGAAGCAACCTGCATTGTGAGATTATTTCTGATTTTGATCATTGCACGCATAGTTTAAGCGAGCAATTTCACCCTGCAGGATGCTGGTGAAAAGAGCGGGGATGCCGAGCCGAAGCAGGGCAGCCCAGAGGATGCCAATCGAGCCTCGCGAGCCTTTCTTTCTTCATCGACAGCTAGCCTGCCAGACGAGCTTCTGGCGGAAATGCCGATTCCCTGCGGGTGCGCCATGCACCAAACTGTTCATGTCGATGCGACCCTTCCCCACTTCCAGGGCAGACTTTTGCACAATGCATGCTTCGAAGGAAAGTGACTTGAATGTCAGTTCATCATTGTTCTTTTGTGGTGTTTAGCAGCTCGATTCAACAGCAGTTTCGCTCAATCAGAACAAAGATCGAAATCCCCTATCCCAGGTCATCGCATGCAGCTTCTTTCAATCCGACGATCGATGCAAACTCTTTGGACAAGCGGAAATCCACTTTGAAAATCATTCCGGCAAACCAGAGATCCCGAGCACAAGCATATTACATCGTGTGGTCGTGGCTCACGAAAGTTACATCGGGAAGCCGAGCTGCCAAGCGGCAGCGAAAGCAGTAGCTCACATGTGATGTTCTGAAGACTTAGCAAAAGCACAGTAAAGCAACGAAGCAGATCATCACGTGTGGAAAGTTTTAGGGCGAAGCTGTGCGAACACGGTGCGATGGGGCGCAAGAGAAGAAGGTCGAGCGAGCACCATGACAGGTTGGAGCCACCCAGGGGGAGCGGGCATGCATAGGGAAGTGCTTGACTTAGGCTTGTTGATGGAGGCGGCTTCCTTCATATGGAACCCTTTAAAGGGCCCCTAAACCCCAAACCCTTTAAACGAGCCCCTTTCAAGGAGCCCTAAACACCCTTTAAAGGAGCCCTAAACACTAAACCCTTTAAAAGGAGCCCTTAACCCTAAACCCTAAAGGAACCCGGTATGAACCCTGCAGGCGGCTTCCTTCGCATCTGACTATCGAGATGTTGGCGGAGCTGCTGAATCAAGCAACCCCAGGTCACTCCAAAGGGGTTTAGGGTTTAGAGTTTAGGAGGGTTCCTTTAAGGGTTCCTTTAAGGGGTTATTTTAACGGATTCTATAAGGGTTCTATAGGCTGTGTAGTATAAGGCTGCATGTACCCTTTCAGTAGGTACTTAGGCCTTCAAGGGGTCCCTCTATGCGCATTTTAAGGCCTTCGGGTCCTAAGGGGTTTAGAGTTTAGGATTTGGGGTTTCTTCACGAGTAAATAGAGTATCTTAGTTGGAGCCCAATGACTGCCAAACCCCTCTCCAGCACCACTCAGCCACTCGGCCACACCTGGTCCCAATACCGCGCTTTGGGCTCGACTTTGCTGTGGAGTAAGAGGTTGGGGTTTAGAGTTTAGGATTTGGGAGTTCTTTGAGGGTTTAGGGTTTGGAGTTTAGGATTAGGGTTTGGGGGTTTTGGGTTTGGGGTTTATGGTCTGGGTTTAGGCTCGTGGCTCATTCAGGCAACCCCAGGTCAGTCAGTGTTGGCTTTCAAATTTGCCGATATAGGAACCTCTTGAAGGCCAAAGTATATGCCGCAAGCGTACATAGATCTCTAAGCGGCTGCCAAAACCGACGGACAATGGCAAGATACGTTTTGTAATTGTGTCATGCTTTTGATCCTCCAGGGATCCTTTAAGGTTTGTCAGGGGATCCTTGAAGGGATCAGCAGCATTGGTATTTATTTGGGCTTCTACCCAGAGCAGTGCGAACAGCACCCAAAACCCCACCAGCACTTCAAACCCCTAACAACCCTCAATCCCTAAACCCCCGAACCCTGAGCCATAAACCCTAAAACCTAAATCCTTAAAGGAAGCCCGAAAGGAGGCCTTAAACGATTCCTTAAAGGCGCACAGGAACCCCAATACCCTCGGCTAACCCAGATGAGAATTCGAATGATGCCCCATGATCAAGCCAATCGCATCGTAATCTCACCCCACTTAACTTAGGGGTACTTAGAAATAATGTTTATTTTTTGGTTAGTATAATCCCTAAGAAACAGCTAAAATTGTAAGCTTTGCTAAGGTTCTAAGTTAAGTTTAGTCAAGCCAATCACATCGTGATCTCACCTCAATTAAAGTTCCATGGGACTTAGTAGCTTGGGTTTTATAGAAGGTAACTATACTAACAAGTACCTATAATCCGAGTTTAGGTGCTCATAACTGTAATTAGTATGTTCCATGAAGCTCCAAATAAGGTTTAGGATTTAGGATTAGTTCCTTGTCATGGTGTTCGGCGTCTCAGTCATGAAAAGGTAGGTTTAGGTTTTAGCTAACCATTGATATTACGGGAGCTAAGGAGCCAGGGATGATGATAATCCCTATTAAATAAGGAGCTAAAGAGCCAAGGGAACCCCCAAAACCACTGGTTAGTTAGGCTTCTTGGCGGTGCAGGTAGAACCAGAGAGTCCTGAATGCGGCGACCCTGAACTCTACGACCTACTTCGAGTAACCAAAGTACCTCAAAGACTTACTTTTGGGTTCTTCAATGGGGTGTCATATGGGTTGTAGGGTTAGGAGGGGAAGTTAGGGCGCAGGATCTACCTAGAGTAGCAAATGTACGTAAAAAAGGAGCAGGACTCTAAGAAATGGGTACCTTCCCCCTTCTTAAAGGTATCTTGGTTACTATAGGTCAAGCCTAAACCCACCTGAAGCAGGTCGACTGCAGGGAGTGGACAGATCACTAGTAGTATCCCAACATACGACCTTAGAGAACCCCTACAGCAACCTTGCGGTCGCAAGGCAAGTATGACTTCGTCTACTTGCCCTACGGGAAGCGCAAGGCAAGAGATCAAGCCGTGGCTTTGGGGGTTTAGCGCATTGGGTTTGGTTGTTTAGGGCCTAGGCAGAGGAGTTTAGAAGGCTTCGAGTCAAGGGTTTAGGGCTTAGGCTTGTTACTTGGAGGCCCTGTTGACTTAGTAAGTCTACTTAGTATCCCCTAGAAACCCCATTATAATCCCCATAACCCACCTTACTAACCCTACTTACTAAGTCAAAAGGGCCTCCAAGTATTGGGGTTGCAGAGCATTTGGAGGCGTATTGCAGAGACTCTTCGAGCATCCTGAATGAGATCCTAGGACTCAGAGTAGCCCTGATTCCCGTTCTTAAGGTTTAAGTTTAGGTTCCCTTATAAACCCCCTTTGAACGAACAAGGGCACCATTTTTATGCCTAGGTTACTCTTATAGGTCTAGTGAATGAGATCACGCTCAGTTGAGTTGAGCCATCTTCTGCAAGCGCCCTGACCCCTCAAAGGATCTAGCGAATAGAACCCCCCAAAAAACAAGTTGTTATACTCATAGGATAGATCTCTTCTGCGGGGTTCTATTTCGGACCATGGATAGATCTCTTCTGCGGGGTTCTATTTTGGACGATCCGAGGGAAGTTTCCGGCAAGCGATTGCATTTGTTTGTAAGACCACACAAGACCAGCTCTTGGTCTGGTGGCTTTGGGTTTAGGGTACACTTTAGAAGCTGCCCCCACCCTGTAATAGTGGTATAATAGGAATATAATACGGCCCTAATATAATCCTATATATTCCTTATAGTCACTATTACAGGGTGGGGAAGGTAAACTAGTAGCAGTAGAGTAGGTAATGAACCTTTTACCTTTCTTAGTATAGTCCCTATATAATCCCTACATACCCAAAAAGTTTAACCTTTAGTCCCCATGATACCCGACAAGTAGGCTAAACCCTTATAAAGGGTTTAGGGTTTTAGGGTGTAGGGTATGGGCTCGGCATTGTGTTTGCGGGTCTCTGGGTCTAACTTAAACTTAGACGAGACCGTGCCGCCTGAAAACATGGCATGAGCCGCGCTACTGGGGCACTACATCAGGGCTTAGGGTTTAGGGTTCGGGATATAGGGCTTAGGGTTTAGGTTTAGGGTTTAGGGTTTAGGGACTACATCATGACATGCATACAGGCTTCTCCGAGATCTTTTACGATCTGAGGGGAGTCGAATTGCTGTCCGTGCAAAACTGTGATGATGGTGGCGGTGGCCATGATGACTAGACAGGTGACACTAAAACACGAATCCCTGAACCCTATGACGGTGATGGTGACGACGACGTGTTTGTTCAGAGCTATCTTCAGCCGTAGAAGGAGCTTTCCCTAAGGGTCCATGTAATTACCGATAAAGCATATACTTTGGGCCCAATGTACCTATATAGGGAGTATGAGTACATGGACCCTTACATTTTGGCAGACCTACAGTGAAGCGTACCTTGGACTATTTGCTCTCGGTAAGTATGGTTACGGTTTAGGGGTTTAGGGACTTATAGTTACTTGTATGACCAATCAAGGTACTGAGACAGCACTATACTTACTAAGTCCCTTGAACCGTTAAGTACACTTTGTGCTCTCGGGGCACCTGTGAGGAGCGCAACGTTGCTCTTGCCTTCATCAACTTCACCAGTCATGCTGCGGCAGCTCGGCAGAAACCAGGGACCTCGATGGTGGCTGTAAACCTACATACCAAACCCCGTAAAGCCATGAAGCCAGAACCCCACGCTGCAGGGCCCATGCACCTCGACTCTCTCTCTCTCTCTCTCTCTCTCTCTCTCTCTCTCTCTCTCTCTCTCTCTCTCTCTCTCTCTCTCTCTCTCTCTCTCTCTCTCTCTCTCTCTCTCTCTCTCTCTCTCTCCTTCTCTATCTCTATCTCTATCTCTATCTCTATCTCTATCTCTATCTCTATCTCTCTCTCTGTCTCTCTCTATCTCTATCTCTATCTCTATCTCTATCTCTCTCTCTGTACATATACATATATATATACACACACATACTTTTGTGTTTCTTCTTCGGTCGTAGAGGGATTCCCAGACATCTTTGAGTCGCACTTGCCGTCCCCATACCTTAATCCAAAAATCTTTAATTTAGCCCTGGACCTGTAACCCTATGAATGAAGCCTAAACCCTTAAACCCTAAACTCGGCATTCTACATCAGCGTTATCTCAAAGCCGTAAACCCTTCAGGGTACACAGAGGACCCGAAGAATAGAACCCGCGAAGTCATTGTTCAGGGATTCAGTTTTTTGGGTCAGGCAGAGCAAAGAGATTTAAATGTTCATCTGCAGCTTGTTGGTGTATCCCTGGACCTCCAAGTACCAAGATTCTGGGCTACTGGGCCACATGCTCCATGTACAAGTTTAAATGCTTTTATTGCTCGGATACTCACTATTTCGGTAACTGGAGCCTCACATAGGATGTCGCCTGCGTGCTGTTCTTGTAAAGATGAAATCCCCTGGGCTCCAACCAGGCCCACAGGGCGGTTTA